AAGTGTTTTCTTTTACCCACCCCCTCCCCGTACTTACTTTTATAATCCCTTCTTTCTTTCCCTTTTTTGCATTGTCTTTTACACTTCTAATTCCCTTTCATAGTAAAAATATGAAAAATGAGAGAACAAAATGTTCACACATAGTTACTCTATACATGACGAGGCCCTGGGGACGGTGAGCGTTCTCATTCGTTTTTAATCAGTTGGAAGAATATCATAGAGAAATTTATTTTCATTTTTCAATTTCATTTTTATTCCGGCCATTGCTAATATTACTAATGCTCCTGGTGCATTCAATTGTCGAGCCTTAATAGCTTTTACGGATGCACCATCTCCTATCAATTGTTTATACTTTCATATTTTCTTCATATTTTGGATGTTTTTGTGCCAATTTACATGTGATTTTTTATATTCCCTTTATCTCCCTTTCTCGCTATACCATGGTCATCTTATGTTTTTGATAGATATAAAAGTATTCACAAATATATAATTCCTGTATATATTTAATTATTTTATTTTCATCCTTATCGTGAAATGATATGTAATATTACTAATTCAATACATGTTTCAGTGTTTATAATCAGAATTATTCTTCTGCTGTTATTAATTAGCATTTTCATCAACTTTGATTCCATAGGAGATGACGAGTGAAATGCAGCACCCTGTCTTAACGGAGCAACTTGTACACCGACAGAGACAGACTTTAACTGCACATGTGCACCAGGATTTAAGGGAGAAACGTGTGAAATAGGTTAACGATTATTACATTTTGTTTAATCCTGTGGTCATTTTATCATTTAAGTTATCATTCAGAAAATAGACTCGTTTGATCAGGCCAATTCATCAATAATTCATTATTTTTATTAGAATATTTTTATTTTCAGAAGAATAGTATCAACTCATTTTGCAATTCTTGTTCAATTTTGCTTGTTATGTTTTGCTTTTCAATATGAAATTTATGAAACCATGTCAACCACGAGATACGAACTGTAATGTTTAGACATTGTTAGTAACAAGTCTGTATGCATGGTATAAACTCCTTGAAGTGATAGGTTATAATAATAAATAATAATAATAGCCTAATAGTCCACTCCAAATTTTATTAATTTTTTTTGCCCAATTGATCGTGAGCCCGGCAGCCACTGAGCAGCGCCAGATCGACGTTGCTCTATCTCTTATTGTTGAACGCCAAACAAGGTAGCAACAACTCCCATCTTTTAACGTCTTTTGGTATGACGCGGCCGGGGTTCGAACCCACGACCTCCCGGTTGTGAGGCGGACGCTCTACTGACTGAGCCAACACTCCGGTATTATCATGCTTGCTCGAATACTAGTTATAAAAACTCTCATTTGCTACCAAACTTTCCATACTCATAACTAAGATTTGTATGTCTTAGCCAAAAAAGAAGAAGCATGAAACATTATTACAGTCCAATGTCATAATGTACTGAATCTGAATACAGTATCGTATAATTTTGAGAATGCAGACGTGTAACTTGAATTATCGAATTATTTACCTAGGTAAACCGGTTAGAGACACTAATCTATCACACTGTCAGTTGTTTGGTAATCATATAAAATACTTGTACATAATATCTAAGTATATTGATAATTTATTTTCTTCAAATTTGTTGTTCATAAGTGTTATTGACGATGACGAAGATCTATTCTTCTGATATAGTTTACTATGTGATAATAAAATATGCCTTCAGCCGTGCATTTAATGTTTTGAGTGGGATTCTGTTATACTTCTTCTAGACAGTTAATATATGATATGTACATGTATATAAATAAATACATTTTACTAAAGGCGTCATTAGAGGGACATTTGGAGTGACCAAAAGGAGTCACTAAGTAGACAGTGTCATTAGGAGGACAATTTGGTGTCCTCTTAACGTTTATACGTTTTATTTCTCATAGAAGGCCCATTTAAAAAAAATATATATCTCTCTCTATATATGTTATAATACTAAAGGTTTCATTGGAGGGACATTTTGAGTGAAAAAATGAGTCATTAAGTAGACATTAGGGTTAGGGTTAGGGTTAGTAATAGGAATAGGGTTAGGGTTAGGATTAGGGTTAGGGTTAGGATTTTTAGGATGTCCACTTAATGTACCATATAGGGTTTTATATATATATATATATATATATATACAACCCTACATGTTGTATTTACAGGATATCTACATTATATAACCCCAAATGGTACATTGACCGGACATCATAAAAACTGGTACACTACCGTAACCCTAACCCTTACCCTAAATTCAAAACAATGAAACTAATTAAACTAATGACTGATGATTAAACGTTATGTTTCTTGGGAGGCCTTTAAGTTACGTCTGCCTTAAAACGCACGTAGAGGGCGTACTTCTTTTGTTCAATCATTAACATGTCACGAAAATATCCTGCTAATGACCATTTCTACTAATGACCATGTGTACTTTCCTTTAAAAGAGATAGTTGAATTTTGTTGCAGAGGGCGCTACAATTTTTTTGGGTGAGACAATGAAGAACTGTGTGCCTAATTTGAAAGAACATACAATTCAAATGCGAAAATCATTTTTGTTTGATCAAAATCGGTTAAGAGATGGCTAAAATATTCATAAATAGGCCTATAGCGATTTCTAATATTTGTGGTGCCCAACAAATATTCAATAATTAAAACCTGCCGTTGAAAAAACGAGATAGCGCCTGATACGTTTTATTTCAGCCAATGCTGATGTTGGCTTTTTGTCGACTGTTCCCTGTTGGTTATAATACGCACAATCAGCCGGCCCATGTATTTTAATGATTAATTAATTACTGACGGTCACCATATTGTTTTGAAAGTGGAGCTGAATTGGTATGATCGTATTGGCCACATTTCAAACATTTTGGGGTCTAAAATTATCTTCATAGCAATTTTAGATCGCAGTCGTTAATGTTAAAACAGCTGAATGTTCTCATTAAGATGCACATAATCAGAAGGCGGTGACTATCATTGGATCAAAGAACGAATCACGTTGAATGTCCATCCGTAATAGGTCCATGGATAGACCAAGAGTTTGATGAAGTCGCCCTGTCCTTGTTCTACGATACCCGTGCGTATAATTATCTAGAAAGATTCTCTCCTGTTCGTACAAACTCTGTCCATGGTCACCATGACATAGGGATGTCGTCATGCATTGGAAGGCAACAAATGAAAAGGGCAAATGTTAATATTAGTAACAATAATAACATTCCGATTCTGTTTTGCGCATATCACATTATCATACACTCTAAAAAATATTGGGCAAGAAAGTGCCCAATTTATGTACTTTCACTTTTTGGTATATGCATGGATATAAGGATATCAATATTCAATTACTGTGATATACGATTTGATTCGTTCTCATATTAACTATATATTTCATGAATTATAAGTAAGTATATTTCATATGACTTTTCTCTTTTTAGGCTGATATCTTTGTTTGTTTAATTGAACTTTGTTTGATAACGTAATGCAAAGTTATTTCATATTGAATAAAAAATATATGAACACATTTTCGGACATTAACAATTTACTTTTCGACATATACAAACAATACTTAGGGGAAATGAGCATTTTACAACTAACAGAATGTATCTAATCGATACTATTATGGCATTGTGATAGAATCAGAATAGGTTAAGAACTCTTTTATCTGTACTATCTTGTTTGGAATTAAAGGGAACCAACACCTTCATACTAAGTTACTTTTATTGTAAAGTTTAAGATATTTGAAAAATATCAGTGAAAATTTGAACAAAATCGGGCAAGGAATAAGGAAGTTAGAGCTTTTTGAAATGACTAGTCACTAGAGGGCGGTATTCAATTTGATGACATCATCTGTGGACAACTCTCCATGCCTTTTGTACATCAAATTTCATGTTTTTCCTTCTTTCTTGTGATTGAGATAATCTTCTCCCCGAAAGCAAGATATAGAATGCAAAAAGATATTCTACTTCACATGTTATGAAGTCGGATCAAGAATACAAATAAATACGAAGAAAACAAAAAAATTGTGAAATTTTATGTACAAAAGGCATGGAGAGTTGTCCACAGATGATGTCATCAAATTGAATACCGCCCTCTAGTGACGAGTCATTTCAAAAAGCTCTAACTTCCTTATTCCTTGCCCGATTTTGTTTAAATTTTCACTGATAATTATCTTTCAAATATCTTAAACTTTACAATAAAAGTAACTTAGTATGAAGGTTTTTGTTCCCTTTAAGGTCCGCTGTTAGAGTCTCGCCGCGGCACTAATGTCCGTCGGCAAGACATCAATTTACATTTGCCACACTCGACCCAGGTGAGGTACATGTAAATGGGTACCTGGTAGGATTATTCCTTGAAATGTGCTGCCAGAGCTAAAGCTAGGGTAATACATTTTCAAAAAGCTCTTTGGAAGCGCATACGGACGTAACAAAGTGATATGCGCTATACAAGAACGGAATATTATCATTCGCTATCTCGATTGGTTGGAAATCAGTTACATTGTCTTATACATGTACAAGGGGGCCGCAGGCCGCTATAAATTGATACGAACTACATACACATTACCTTCAGCAGTATTAAACATGAAATTCAACAACTTAGGAATATCAACACAGCCGCAAAGATTGATGAGCAAGCATTTGTAACTACCTAGAGATAAAAACAAATTTGGAGAAGATCCCTTACTGAAGAAGGAAAATAACAACGTCTCAAATATCGATACTCACCTTGTATACATATTTTGTATGTAGCCCACTTTACTACAGAGAATACATTTTTTTTGGTATATACCCACACATTTCGTTTTTGCTCATCACGTGCAGGTATTGAAGGATAAAAGACATAGTGCCTTGACTCAAGTTACATAACTACCATACATCGATTAAATTACTTTGACATAATATTACACTGAATTGAATACCCGCACCTTTTTAGAATACCCACAATGTTAAAGGATAATCATTTTTTCTATAGGTAAGAATATATATTATAAGTTTGTCAAGGACAGTACTTTCATTGGCGGCTTGGCCATCATCCATATAGTTTGTTGTCATTTGCAGTGCTCTTACCAAAACTACACGTTATACTGTTAGCGCTGTACAAATTTGAAACACGTCAAGAGAACGTAAATGTTGGTTTGCGCCTTCAGGTCGTTATAATTAATTGTACTCAGTTTTATATCATCTGTAAGCGCTGGGTCTTACTCGTATATGTTTTATGGGCGAATAATTAACCTGAAGTAGCCTTTCTGGAAAATTGTGAGCGAAAAAAAAAATTAAATCGCAAAACAAAACCACAGATGATGATGAACGGAAACAACGCCCAAACATCACCCGCCGACGATGTCTCCGTAGAGTTAGGGATGGTTAGCAACGAAGGCGTGATGTTCGATAAGAAACATTCGCGTATTCACCTCGTTTCGTCTTGGTGGTTGGCGTTGTCTCGCAGTGCCCCGGAAGGAATAGGTGTGCCAGGAATCAAGTACATCCTCGTGTCAAGGGAGAGTCGGTGCAGAAGGTGAGAAAATACTACAAACGATGATGATAATTACAATCATATTCTCCAGTGATTTATTTTTCAATGATATAATTTGACTCTAAAAGATGGAAATGCTCGTCAAAATTTAATGGCCAAAAACCCCATATTTTTGCAGTTTGCTTGAAGAGACTAGTTTATTGTTAAAGGGCTATGCTCTCTAATGCATTTATATCATTTTGATATGTTATAATTTACACTTAACTGGGCATTAGATATGTCAACTGCGTCGCTCAGCGCATTCAAGGAATAAGTCTTACCAGTTAACCCGCGCATTATACTTTGGCCGAGCATGGACTTACTAGAAATGGGCCGAGTGTGGCAAAGGTAGAAACATGGACTTACTAGACATGGTAGAACCATGTCTTACCAAATGACGTAAGCGCTGGGATTTGAACCCCGTGCCTCTCTTTCCCCTCCCCCTTCCTAATATATTTGTGTGTGTGTGTGTGTGTGTGCGTCTCTCTCTCTCTCTCTCTTTCTTCTCTTTAACGATCTCTCTCTCTCTCTCTCTCCTTTCTTCACTCGATCCCTCCGCCCCACCTTATCTCTCTCTCTCTCCCTTTTCCCCTCTCTTTCTCTCTGTTTGTTCCCCCTCCCTTGCTGTTTCTACTAAATATCTATCTGTATATCTATTTTTGCTCGATCATTTCTTTCTCTCGCTCTCTCCTCTTCAGGATGGGCTGGTTATGCATCCTAACGTTAGCCTTGACAGCATTCATATCCTTAACCGCCGAGAGGGCTATTTACTACTCCACCTTCCCTCTCTCGGTGGACATTAGCTCAAACGTGACAGCAGATGGGCTAACTTTTCCCAAAGTTATCATCTGTAACTTTAATTCGTTTGTGTGAGTATTAAAGCTTATATATCTGATCTCTTTCAAAACTATTTTAGTTAATACCGTGAGTCCTTAATACAAACAAATGATATCATTGTCCTTGTTTAGTGTTGTTTTGTTTTGTTTTTCTTCCATCATCTATTTCTTATTCTACTTCTCCTTCCTCTTCTTTCTGATCTCCAGGGAAGATCAGCTCCACGTATACAAGTGCAGCTGACAATGATCTATCCAGCTGTCTATTTTCTTCTTTTTTTTCGCTGTACATTCTTCAATTTTATATATATATATATATATATATTGGCTGTAGCGTAACAAATATCGTTTGTTCGTTTCAGTTTCTTTCTGTCAAAACACAAAAACGTCATAATGGAGAACAAAGAATACGTTTTCCTCACTGTATGCAAGTATGCAATCATGAGGTTGTACATTCATAATATTTTTTTGGCATTAACTAATATCGTGAATGTTAAATTAATTAAATTATAATCATTTTCAATGTATCCCCCCCCCCAGGCCCACTAGGTTATGGCAATAGCTGACTGGATAGACATTCCCCCACCCCCCCCCCACTCAGTGTTATTTAGGGTACGCATATGCGTGTTCCAAGCGACCCCCTCCCCCTTTTCAGCAAAAGTCCGGTGTGTAAAGTCAATACGGGTCCACCTATTTCTTTTGTTATACGAGCCTTTTTCAGCACCCCTCCCCCTTTTCAACGAAAGTCCGGTGTGTAAAGTCAATACGGGTAGACCTTTTTATTTTCTTACGAGCCGGAGAGTTTGGGAACACGCATGGTATCACTCCGTTCACGGAGTAGGGGGGGGGGGCGGGAGACATTCATGTTATATCACATGCCCAGTCTGTGTCACGATCGCAGAGAGTTTGGAATATCAACCTAAAATAATTTCAGTAGCCTTGCCTATCACTAAGTACTAACAAATGCGAACAATAAAATATTACACATTGTCTCTCACATTTTTTTATCATTTCATTTATCTTTTCCCCACTTACGCTTGCTTTTCTCTCTAATTGTGGGACAGATCAATTTTTTAATTTTATTTACTGCGTGTTTTACATTCATTTATTTATTTTTATTTGACCCGTGCCTTGTGTGTCTTGTCCTCGGCATGTCTCTTGTTAAACACTTGAGAAAAAAAAAACACAGCTGCATATTTTATTGATGATTATAAATGATTTTATTTACTGTGTTTTTTAACATTAATTTATTCATTTTTATTTGACCTGTGCCCTGTGTGCCCTGTCCTCGTCGTGTCTCATGTTAAACACTTGAGACAAAAAAAAACAGCTGCATATTTTATTGATGATTATAAATGATTACTCATCCTACTTAAATTACGACGTAATTCAGTTTTTAGACGGGTATACCATTACAAGCTACGCTTTTCAACAAGCCTCTCATTTTTACATGTCACATAGAAAAAGTCTTTATATTAACCTTTAATTAAGTTCAAACTGTCAAATTTGTTTAATTGTCAATAATGTTACTTCAAAAATGCAATTGTTATTATGTTGTTTCCAGATGTAATATCCTCCATTTTCCATTTTGTTATATCGTTTGTTTCTTTTGTTTACATTTAAGCATGTGAAAATAAACTCAAATTCAATTCAATTCAATCCGAAGATTATCTCTATGGTTTACACTCAGGGAACCACTGGCGTAGAAAACGGGGGGTGTGGGGGGGGGGGGGGGGGGACTGTGATTGGGAGGGGGTTAGCCCCTGGCCAAAAATGTGGTGCGGCGGGAATATCGTTCCGCCCCCCCCCCCACTTTTTATGGCTGAAAACCCCTTATTTTTTTGCATTTAGAATGATTGTCCTTTTCCCTTTGGATAGGTGCGCCCTTTTCTTTTCACCATAGAATATAGCGACTTCAAGCATCTTTGTCTGCAATTTCACTCAAAGCTTGCTCGCATTTTAAGTTATAATGTATAATATTTTTTAAATAATTTTGTATTAAAGATCGTTTCAGTCTTTCATGATAAGGATTGTTTTTATCTCTTTATAAGATGTAATATTTTGCACTTCACAAATCTAAATAACTTGTTCGCTCGCTCACAAATAAATATTTAGACCATCACACCCAACTGCAAAGTATGATGCTTAAGCAGTATCTTGAACCATGTAAAGAGAAAAACAAATCAATGAAATTAACCCTAAAATCTAGTCATATTCCAGGGGTATAAGGGCCTACCAATGTCTGAAAATGGCATTTTCGCTTTGAGGTTTCCCTTTGTAGTTTAGATAAGCATCAACGGGCCCGCCTCAGGGCGCTTGGTGGGGTTCAGGGGGCAGAGCCCCCAGAAGCTCAGGCCATTTTTTGCCTGACTGTTAATTTGGGAATTTTTAATTTTCCAACAAACGCATACACAAATGTATTATTTACAAAAGAGTGCGAAAAAATCCCGGAAAATCATGTTATTTTATATAGCAACATTTGGAAACCACTGGTATCGAATTAGAAATAAACCTCGTTTGAATTTTATTCGGTGCCCCCTATCAGCACGCCAGTGGTATTTACAATTTATTCGAGTTGATTTCTCAAAGGTATTTTCTATACTTCTATACTTTTGTATACGTCATGGTAAAATGTCACGGTCTGTTTCATTCTGTTTTCCACGTTTAGAAAATCAAAAACTCAGGCCCGACCAGCGATGGACAAATTGTTGAGGATTTACGAGAACACACACTACAATTCCAATGAGACTATTCTTTTGACACAAGAGGAGTTGACGCATCTAAGGAACGTCAATACGACACAGATGTTCGAAGAATTGAAACATCAAAAGGAGGATATGTTTATCAGGTGACAGTAATGATACTAGTAGTAATAGTACTGATAATAATGATGATGAAATAAAAAAAACAATTAAAATAGGGATACATTCAAAGTCATTACACTATTTCAAATATATTAATACTTTCATAAAATCTAAACCTTACTTAATTGCACTAACACCAAAGCTATATTTCTGACAAAAATAAAACCCAGAGCAAAAGGGGGATTATCAATTGACAGAAAATTAATAGAAAAGAGGAGACATGTTGGCTTCGTTGATTAAACGTCTGCCTGTCGGAGCAAAGATCGTGGGTTCGAATCCAGGCCAGGCGGGTGACTGAAGCCAGCATTAGGGACTTTTAGATTTGCATGGACTGATACGTGTGACGTCCATTCAAGGCAGTGCATTAAAAGGACGTCGATCATAGCTGTCGTTGTGCAAATCTAAAAGTCCCTGTGTGTTTAACCAGGGAGGTGAAACTATCTGCCCCTCGCCTGTTTTGTAGGCGCAGGCTAGGTTACAGACAGAAAACATACCGTCGTTACAGTGATTCAGTTTGCTTTTCACCTCCCCGGCACAGGTGACACTAATACTTGATAATCATAATATATTATTTAAAGCCTGTCTGCACTAATTTGGCCAGGAGGGATTAGGCCTCCCTACATGGTCTCTGACAGGTGGTTATCTCTTCAAATTAGCTCTCACTTAAAGGTACTATGTCCCATTTGCAGGCCCCCAAAATTAGAAGGCTAAATTCCAACGGCATTTGAAAGGTAATACTAATTTATAACTTCCCTTAGAACGAAATGGTTTGAAAATGGTTTGAAAAGTGGTAAAATAACGACCATTAGTTGTCGAATCGACTTTAGTGATTGTAATCACTAAAGTTACAGTCTAATTTTCAGACCCTTGAACCGAATGGTCGAACGTATTGTGCTGCGCAAAGATTCAATCAGTTTAATGTTGGCCTTTACAAGAATTGGGTTATTGATGTAGCCAAAATGCTAATGTACCCTTTACAGCTCATTTTATGTATGTTATTACCAAAAAAATAAAAAAGTCAGTCAGTCACTCAATAGTGTCTGACAGTGAAGTCTAGAAGGTAAACGGTGTCCTTGAGTAATTTGAATATAAGGACACTGCTTACGTTAACATTTCACAGATAGGACATATTAAGTGACATGTTTATAATTCCTGTAAAAATCTACATAATTTGATGTTGGCGGCAAACATTTAACATAAGAAAAAGGGGATCATGGGAGACCAACGGGTACCGCGTTTGCACTGTTTGCTATATAGAGGGCGCAAGGAGCTACAGGTAGTGCAGTCCCGCTTTAAAGAGGATTGTCCATCATGTCTTATACTTCCACTTTGCAGGGTGGTATTTGCTGGTGTGCCGGTGAGCTTGGATGACATCATACCAGTGGCCACCACCTTCGGGCGTTGCTATCAGATTAACGACGGTCAAAATGGAAGACAACTCCTCAACTCTTCAGTTGCCGGTAGGGATACCACTACTATTAATAGGGCTACTACAACAACAACAACAACAACTATTACTACTACTACTACTACTACTACTACTACCAGGCGCGTACACAGGATTTTTTCAAGGGGGGGGGGGGGTTAACATTTTTAAATCGGGCCGAAAATTTCGCATCGACTCAGCCAGCCGCTGAATAAGCGGGGGGGGGGGGGGGGGGGGGGGGGTAAAAGTCCGTGCAACAAAGTCCGGCCCGAGAATTGTAAGAAAAGGGGGTGTATTTGACTTTCGACCTGAGAATTCTTTAAAAAGGGGGTGTTTTTTCTTTTTTGCTCTCATCTCTTTGGACTCCTGAAAAATTATTCCGAATTTAGGGGGGTAAATTGAGCATTTTTCCGAATTTAGGGGGGTACATTGAGCATTTTTCCGAAATTAGGGGGGTGTCCAAGGCAGGAAAAGCCCGCGAAATTCTCATTTCTATCTTTTAAACCAAATTATTTATTCAGGAGTGTCATTTGGACTGAGTCTGATCCTAAACACCGAGCAAGATGAGTATTACTACAACACGTACTTGAAAGACTCAGCGGGATTCTCGATTCAACTTCTGGACCAAGATGAAACCAGTGACCTGCACGTACGAGGGTTTCAGGTGGGCCCAGGCACGTCGGCTGATGTTTCAATTACCGCCAAACAGGTGATTGTTTTATACACACATCGGTTGCTTCCTTTGCCTCCCTGCATATGGCCTCTCGATCCTATCTCACACGACTTTTGGCACAAAACAATAGGCGCACCAATATTAATTATGACGGAAGGATTGCTTTGTCCACCAAAATTTAATGACTTTGCATAATTATAAATTTCTTGTTAACTTACGACTTATAAAAAAAAGAAGGTTGTCGTGCCATATTAAATCATAGAATCACCAATGTTCGCGAGATTGTCGTACCACATTTCAATGTACTGTATTTTAATTTATTTTCAAATCTTTTGTAATTCAATTCGTTTCAGCCTTTGGATCCCGCTTTGGATACTATATATTTTGAAAATGTTTTTTCTTCTTCAGATCAACAAGCCAGTTCAATGAATTAATATGCCATTTTGGATTTATAATTCCCAATAAAGTTGCTGCATGGTTCAAAGATTTAGCAGGGATTTTTATCATATTTTCTTTCCTTATTGTAACACTGCTCAAATTCACATTTTTCCCCTCTCTTTTCTTTTGTGCTTATAATCATGTAGCAAAACTATGCGAAGCCGCCGTACGGTGGTTGTGGAGAGAGGAAACTGCAATATTTCGATAAATATTCTCGAATAAAGTGTCTTCTTGAATGCATGACACATACTGTGATAGAAGCGTGTGGATGTAGATCTCCTGCCCTGCCCGGTGAGTACTCTTAAAAAAAAAATCGAGTGATCACTGACGTGACTCCTCTGGAGAGTGAAAAATGTAGTGAAAATAGAGTGAACATCCACTCTTTTCTTCTTAGAGAGTGACTTTGCGCCCACCCTTGGCTCAAGAAATATATAAAGAATATACAAACATAGATACATATGGAGCAGACGCGTTCGCAGGGGGAGGCTTTGGGGGGTTAACCCCCCTCCCCCTTCAATTTTGTTTATGTGTGTATTTTGGAGCAAATCCCCCTTGTTTGTTTTTTTTTTTGTTTTTTTTTTTTTAATTAAAAAAAAAAATGTCCTCTTACCCCCCCCCCCCCCCCACCCGCTTATTCAGCGGCTGGCTGAGTCGTTGCGATTTTTTTTGGGACCCCCCTAAAAAAAGTGTCCTCTTACCCCCCCCCCCCCCCCCCCCCCGCTTATTCAGCGGCTGGCTGAGTCGTTGCGATTTTTTGGGGACCCCCCCCCCCCCCCCCCCCCCAAAAAAAAAAAAAAAAAAAAAAAAAAAAAAAAAAAAATGTCCTCTTACCCGACCCGACCCCCCCCCCGCTTATTCAGCGGCTGACTGAGTCGTTGCGAAATTTTCGGCCCGATTTAAAAATGTTAAACCCTCCCCCTCCTTGAAAAAATCCTGCGTACGCTACTGATAATTATACAGTATAATTATATAAACGTCCGGTATTAATACATTTACCATCTGTTTGTCTAAGATGACGCAAAAGCAAATATGACGGAGAAGAGAAGTTTCATGCTTTAAGTCGTCCAACAGCTCTTATAAAGTGAACATCGACTATTCACTATCGGCAAATAATTTTCGTGATTTATTGTTTCTTTTCCAAACTCTGCCGAGGGAACGCATACCTTGTATTAGTCTCGACGCTTTTTCGCTTATGTTACAATTATATATTATATATATATATATATATATATATTCTGTTACTAGGCAACGCATCTGTGTGTGATCCGATCACTATAGGAACTTGCGCGAATGCTGTGTTCGGTGAGTATGATAGTCATTTATTTATTTTTCATTTGTTTATTAATTCATTAATTTTCATATTCATTTATTTATTATTTCATTTGGTTCGTGATTTTATTATCATTATTGCCACAACAACTAAGAAACGTAATGGGTTACACTAAGTATTAGGCCTAAAATAAAAACTTGTCGTATTGCCCATTGCGACCGACCCAAAAATCTGAAAATCTACGGTCGGTATTTAAAATAATGTAAAAAAATTAAACCTTTTTTTTAGATTTTTTTTGTAATTCATGAATAAAAATATATGTATTTTGTTTGTTTAAATGGGATATAAATGCATAAAATCAAACTATTCCAAAATTCTCACTCGTGCAAACCATGGATAATTATGAGGTGAAAATGATATCAATGGAATGATGACGCTGAAGCACATGTATTTAAGCATTAAAAACTGAAAAATATCAGCTAAAAGAGGGCGGGAAAAAAGAAAAAAACACATTCAAATCTGAAAATATCGGCCCAAAGAGGGCGACAAAAAAAAAAGTATAAAAAAAAAATTCCGACCGACTGACCCATGTTTTGGCACCCAAAGGGCAATATAACAAGTTTTTATTTTAGGCCTTAGTATGGATGAAAGGCCGAAAATTCATAATGCAAACAAAAATCTTAATATCCGTATTTAGCCAGATACACACGAGCCGTAATTTTGAGTGTATTCTTTATAATTATATCGTCATTAAAACAAATTATAGAATGCATCCCTCATTTCATCACTTTTCTGCATCCCTAATTTTTAAAAAAAAATTACCGTAAAAGTAAGGAAGTAAAGAAATAAATATACAAATAAATATTTTAATATATATAAATTAATGAATAGGTAAATACACAATAGATAGATACATAAAAATTAATAAATACATATTAACGAATAAATAATTGTCAGATTTTCATGGCCAAACGATTAATCCTTTCTCAGAAGAGATAACTAGCACACACCACGCAGAACTTTGTCAATGCCCCATGAACTGTGAGGAAAGGGATTTCCCCGTTTCTGTTTCAACGGCCAAGTACCCGTCAGCCTTTCGGGCCGGTCTCCTTGAAAAGTACATCAGTGAAGGCCTGCTGGACAACATCAGTTTTAAGTCTGCAAATTTGTCGGTCATTGAGTAAGTATTGCTAGCAGTAGAGCTAGTAGAGGCTATGGCACGCACTCGGTGCCATAGAGTTCAATTAATACAAACTAATGTCGATCTTATGGTGATTCTTGAGTGTATCGTATATTGAATACTGGAGCATAAAGTTTGATTGATGGATTTTTAAATAACAAAAAAAAAATCCTTACAAAATCAATTATATTTTAATCAATCTATAACAAAAAAGAAGGTTATCGGGGAAGACCGAGTCAAGGTGTAAGATAATATACATTATGATGCAAATCATTCAATGACAATAATGTCAATGAAACAAATACATTTTCACCTTGAGATGAAGTTTTTAAATTTTTTTGTAATATATGTAAATAAATGAATAAGAAGGCTGGATAAATGGGCTTATTTTCTACGTTTATGCCGAAGTCTTGAGTGCTCTGTTCAGGAGTACAAACCACGGCGAATGATATTGGATTCTCGACTCCTACGCAGTGGTTTTAATATTTTTGGAGAGTTGATTCTACTTTTGGAGAGTGTAATATAAGACGAAGCGAACCCGAATACGACGTCCAAATGAATGAATTTCCTCTTTTGTAAAGTGGGAGTGTCCCCCATACACCCCAGGGGTCTCAGTCATATAGACATACCGGAAGCATGCGTGACCACAAGTTTTCCAGACACCCCCTAAACAGGGATTTCTTCTGTAGCCAAAATACACCCTAAATGAGGATTCCGCGTGGGTCCCCCCCCCCCCCGAATTCACACCCTAAACGGGTAGTTAATAAAAGCGTACTCCTAAACAACTGCTGTAAAATTGTAACTTCTTGTGCATTTTGAAGTGCGATATTACAATTTAAGTTGTTTGCAATGAAAATAAATCAAATTGCGCTTTTGATGTAAAATTCAGAATGAAAAAAACAATTTCAATAGAGAAGCAATAGCATCAACCTGTACACTTCCAAATGGGTTTAATACACAGCCATCATAATATTAGTCCTTACTTTGAAAAAAGAAGGAATTACATTTCATCGTCGTCAAGCCTGGTCGTAAAAAAGCAATTCACATGCTGGTACGCAAAGTATAGGGGCTTCTTTATGTGTTTTTATATTAGCAAGCTGACGTAACCGCAAGTTATGGACAACCGGCTTTCCGACCAGCTTTCAATTTGGAGTCGGGATCTAGAAAAAATACCCCTAAACGCGTACAGCAGCAGGATTTTGAAAACTACCACTTTTCTTGAAAATGACGTTTTTAACCCCTTAACGCGGCACCGCACGGAGCGCGTCAATTAAATCTCCAAAATAACACCCTTTTTACGCGTTTTTGGGGGGTCACGTATGCTTACGGTAATTCATATATTTTACCGAGACCCTTAGCCCCTGTCCATACATCCTTAACATGTAGAATTTTGCAGCTGTTCACCATAATATCTAGCGCAGATTTTTTTTTTGTATATCACTCCTAAAAGAGTGGATTTCCACCCTCATCATAGAGTGTTCGTTTCTATTGTTTTCTATACATGATCCTTTACAGGCAATTTTTAGCGTTAATTTTTAACTCTTAAACGAGTGTTTTCCACTCCTGTACATGGCAGTGTTAGCCTCTAATCTCTTTCCCACTTTTTTTACAGGCAGAACTTTGTGGCTGTCAATATTTATTTCAGTGATATCAGTACGACGGTAGTGACCCACCGACCCGCCTATACAGTCTCCTCCTTCATAGGTGAGTAACTTTATTTTCCCTTGAAGTATGTTTTTTTTTGTTTAAATCATAGTAAAGTCGTTTGTTTTTAGACCCGTGCTAGAATTGTAATAAATATTGTGAAGCACATAGTCAATAGAGCTCTGGAGGTAATGTTATTGTGGTATATTCTAATTTTGTGTGACTTTTACAAAGTTCCAATGAAACCTGAAATTACTGATTGTTTTTTTGTAACTTCGTGATGCATTTTTCAATCGTTGACAAGAGAGCACAGCAACTACCATCCATGCATGATGTTTGCATTGAATTCCTGAGGTGATCGTTCTGTACTGTGTATGGCTATGTTGTGCGGATGCTAGTCATTATGCTATCTTTGTACCATTTGTAAATGTATGCCAACTATATCTGGTCTTACAAAAATGTTCTTTTCTTTTTGAAATTTGTGTTTAGATTACAGTGAAATTCATATAAGCTTAGGTGCAAACCTAAAAAGAATACATACAGATTTTATTGAAACTGATTAATAAGTTTTTTACATTTATGATTCTGTACAATTCTCGAAGTTTTTTTTTGGCTTCAAAAGGGTCCCAATTGGCCAAAAATGATGGGGTTCAAATTTTCAGACCCCTCCTTAATCTCCACGGGGGTCCATATTGGGCTCCAAAATTGGGGGATTGTTGAAGTCTTTGGGGATGAAAAATAAATATTTGGGAATGAAAATAATATTGAGTTTTATGAAAAACGAATTTGGGGATTTTCTGTCAAAATTTGGCAACTTTGGGGATATTTAAGTGTCGTTTGGGTGGGGATTTTGTTAAGATTTAACCTGGCAACGCACGCTGAGCTGGGCTGCTCATTTCCTGGATTCAAGTTGCTCACTTTTTTATCAGTCTGGTCTGAGTGTAGTGACAAGCAAAATGGAAGCAAACAGGGCAAAGAAGTTGCGGCAATCCAGTCTCGCATCTTTTTTTACTGGAAGGTATGTTTGAATCATGCAAAAAAGTTGGCATACAGGGTAAATTACCATACATGGGGGTGTAATACGGACGTGTTCATGCACTGCTTTTTATGGTCTCCATTGTGTTAATAGATGCCAGGAAAACATCACCTACGGGGTTCAAATAAACACCCCCAAAAAAATCGGCTCGCCGCTTCGCGGCTCGTGGACATTATTGGTCAACCCCCCCTTAGCAAAAAGCTAGATCCGCCCCTGGATTTGTTTGCAGTACGAAAATGGTCTATTGAAATAAGGCGCCGTGTGCAACGTTACGTAATGACTTCATTAATAATTATGTATCTTCTCATTCTAGCTGACATAGGGGGCTCTCTTGGTCTATTTCTCGGCGGTAGTCTTCTAACAATATATGAAATATTGGACCTCTGTGGACACTCCTTCTCCAGGAAACACTAGAGCCTGATATGATACAGGATACACAAACCCTTACCACCAGGTCGACGATAGCCCGAGAGAAGAGACCGAACATGAAGTTGCCAATATACCGAATGGCCAAAACCATTCGGTCTAGAGTCGGTTTTGCGGTGTGACTGACTCGGTATGAGAAGCGGGAGAAGGGCGATATACAGGTTGAACGAGTCCTATTATTGGGGAGGGGATGATTGACGACATTTTCTCCGGCAACATTTACATCGAACTTATTTTTTTCTCTTTTCCTCATACGAGGCACTTTATTACTTTATATCATTTTAAAAACATTTCATATAGAGTTTAATAACAATATATATATATATATATATATTCGCAATCAACAAACTGATATAATAAAATAGGGGAAACATTAGGAAAGTGGAAGGGAAAGATCAAGGCATGAATATAAATGCGTTAAAGATTCAACTAAGAAAGATTCATCTTGATATTACTTATTAATTGTTCTTGGTTTCTGTATTGCCAATTGACATAAAACATAAAATCGCTTTTGAAAGTCATCCAAATTGAATGACTATTGAAGGATTTACTTCTAAGATGATTAAGTATATACACCTTATAAATTGCATATTGTGCGTAAACAATTAGTACGTTCATGAGCAGAAACTCCGGGTCTTCAATGTTGAAACCAATTAATATGATTTTTTGTCCTAACTCAATATCTTTTTGGAACAAGTTCGTTACCAGATGATGAATTTTTTGCCAAAAGACTGCGACTTGGCGACATCTTAGCAAAATGTGTTTAAACGATTCTGATTCATTGCAATATGTACAAAGCATATCGGATGTAATTTTCCACTTGTAAAGATTATCTTTGAAGGGTAAAACTTTATGAAGCAGTTTGAAAATAAATTGTCTTACTCTGTTGTCTTTGATCTTTTTTAATTTAAAATCTAAAACATGCCTCCACTCAAAATTGATTGGTAGTTGCAGTATTTCCTGCCAAAACAATGACACCGGAGGATTTTCTTTTTGAACTCATTCAAAAGAATATAAAAGTGTTTTGCTTTCATGAGACTTAATTTAATCAAGTCGCAGTTCGATATCTCAAACATTCCTTCAGAAACTTCTGTTGCAATTGTATTAAAATTGGTAAATCTTATTTGTTCTACCCATACTTTTGGAAAAGCTCTTTTTAATTACGAAAGTTTGAAGCTATCTAATAAAGAACTTGTACCCAAACGTTCGAAGAGAGTGTTGCTTGACACCCATTGACCGTTTACAAATACATCACTAACTTTACAGATTCCGTTTACATTCCATTTTTAAAAAAATAAAACATTTCGTTCATGTTTGATGTTACTGTTATACCACAGAATTTCATTACATATGTCTCTTACATTCAGGAAATGAACATATCTTAATTCGCACCAGTATGTGAGTAAGTTAGCATAGAATATTGGTAACTTATACATCTTACATAGCGAGAACATATCTTTGCTTGAGCAGTTTATTTTCAACATTAATGGTATGTCTTGAATAAAACTGATCCAATATCTGAAAAGTATTCTCCATTGCGACTTACCTCCTTTCATATATTTTGAAAACCAAGATAATTGCAATGATTGGAATTTGGTTCAGAATTTGGTTTGGTTTGGATAATCAAACTTATATTATTTCTACCCTTACCAAGTTTTGTAAGTTTTTAAGAATGTGAAAAATTGATTTGTCCCAAATTGCGTTTCATGAGAATGAAGCATAATTATTAGAGCTTACATCTTAGACTTAACACATTCAACAAAGGCCCTAATTCAACCTGTCCACCTTTCATTCTTGAGTTACCGTGCGTAAAAAAAAAAAGAGTTAAAGTTACAAGGGGTATGAATGATTTAGTTGTTAAATGTATTATGTAGTCCAATATATCAGTTTTATTTCTATGCTAATTGCCTTTCAACTTAATATTTTAGCAATATTTAAGCCAATTTGAGATTGTTTCAGAACTCAACTTTAAGTTCATCTTTTAAGTTTGGTTTGAGTCTGAAAATGTATATCCCTCATTCACCAAAATTCAAGATTCAGACATAAATGTGTACAATTACAATAACAATAATAAAACTGGGACTACTTTGAAGAATTTGAAGAAGGCCTCTGCATATGCCTTGGTTTCCATGACGATTACATGACTTATAAAATATAACAATAACTGATGTCAAACGTAACGCACTTCCAAAACATGTGATATTATAGAAGCCCTATTCCATAGTGGATAAATGTTCTTATGGCACTCAACAGCTACTAAAAGGAGTATATCCAAGAATTACAATACACCAGCCTATATAGAATATACTTTGTAAATATCATTATACCGTCGCATGTATAATAGTAATAAGCGATCGATGTATGTATGTCGTTATAATTTGTAAGCTATTTTTTGCAGAAAGTGATAAATGTTACTTCAGTTCAACTCAATTCAATTCTTTTATTCATCCAAATTCACAAGAATAAATGGAAATTTGTTTTTGTCACACATTGTAAAAATAGGTAATAATATATATGCGAAACTATATCGTTGTGTTTATAATCATAAAAGAACCATCAAAATAAAATGTAGACAACATATTTATTATTATTATTCTTATATTCTAGTATTACTCATTGAAAATGATGAAAGGATTGAACATCAGTGTGAAGGAAGGAAGGAAAACCAGGCCAGGGGGGTGTTTCACAAAGATCCCAAGTCGAACTTAACTCTAAGATGGACTTAAATATTATGGAAAGCCATTTGTAGCCTTAAAATAAAATATGTTCAAAGCGAAAATTCAAGTATTTTAGACTTTTTATAAATTCCAGATCAAGAACATGAAATCTCCTTGATAATAGAAAATTATGATTGATTTGAATCGAAATTTTATACCTCTTAAAAAAACTTTTACAAAATATTTTCAAAGATGCTAACGGCTTTCCATAATTTTTCAGTCTAACTTAGAGATAAGTTCAAATTAGGATCTTTGTGAAACACCCCCCAGATCGATACTGGGACCCACATGATCCTCACTCCATTTGGTTGTACAAACGGATTATGAAACATAGTGGCCCGAATTCACAAAGGAGGTTTGTCGACAAACCTCCTTTGTGAATTCGGGCCAGAGAGCCCAAATATAGGCCTGTCCGACATTTCAATGAGCGCATTCTCCTTCCTGACCGTAATAATTCGTTATTTAGATTGTGAGCATAGTAAGCATGGAATTCATGATAAAAAATAAAACTAAGAACATTAAAACTTTGATTTTGTTGCTGTTATGCTTTTCGACAAACTCCTACTTTATGGAGAATTCTTTCCAACGACCGCTTCCTAATTGAATCATTTATTTATTATCATCCATGAAAAGGATTAACCTCGCTTTTAAAGGGCCACTCTATAACCAAAACGGGCTAAAAAATGAAGGGAAAAAAAGACATGTAGAATAATTGTTTTGAGAGGTTGGAATAAATATCAATGATATATATATATATATATATATATATATATATATATATATATATATATATGATATACACATCTTAGCTAGGCCACAAGTCATTTTGTATTTCTTCTAACTATATCGATGATAATTTATTTTCAACAGATATTTTTTTGTTCCTATTTGTGCTTCTGGACCGTATTAAAGAGGGCGTGTTTTATATGCTTATGGCAGGGTCGTCATTCGGCATGGGACTCGTAATTGTTTTATGACTTCTTATTCAGCTGAAGCGAATTCCGATATCAAAAATAGAAAAAAGTTGAGATCTCGATATCGCCTAACTTCTTTAATTTTCTGTTTTTTTCCTTCTAATAGGCCATTTTCGTAATGTAACCAAATTTAATGCATACATCTATGTGAAGTGCCTCAATACAAATTATTCATTCACCTGATAAAAATAATAGTATTTCAATAGACAGAATTCGAACGGCATAAGTTGTTGCCAGGTTGGACAAACGTTTATGGCTTGACCTACCTAGCAACACTTAATATATGCAGTTTGCATTCTGTCTATTGAAATACTAATATTCTTATCGGGTGAATGAAATAATTTGTATTGAGGCACTTCACAAAGACGTATGCGTTAAATTTGGTTACATTACGAAAATGGCCTATTGCTCCCATCTGTAGTCTAAGCGTACTGATGTTCTTTTTGTGCGTGTGTACAAGTTGTGGTGTGTGTGCGCGTGTGTATGTGTGTGTAGTTGGGTTGGAGTAGGACTATTGCGAAGTATGAATATGAATGAGGTCTCGCGGTTTAGTGGTTTACTATTCACTTGACTCTCAATGCAAGGGTTGAGCGTTCAAATCTCAGCCCGGCACTGCATGATGTCCTTTGACAAAAAATTAATCAAAATTTGCCACTCTCCATCCAGGTGTAAATAGGTACCTGTAAATTTCTTCCTGCGATCCTCTTTTTAAAATTCCTCTAATAATTTGGTCCATCACTGAATTACCCACGAAATACAGGTGCCTCGTACCATAATGGTTCGAGAGGGCACAGAATTGAAATCTGAATACAATTCATCTCACATGGGGTTGCAATTGCACCTCTACACATCAGAATGAACGCCCCACACCCGTTTCAAACCAGGGTGGTTTATTCGATGCTACCCAATAACCTGATGCAACAACATTAATGCTCCAAGAACAATCTAAAATCTATGGCATAACAGTTTGGTCCAAACCTTTCAGCTGTTTCCCAACAAATGTCAAATATGAGGGCATAATTATGAAGAGAAATCATTTTCTGGAAACATTCTTCAATTATATTCTTCCAAACTGACGTAAAATGAACAAGAAATCTCACAAACGAGTTTTTACCTCTACCACAACTCAACCTTCTCTTTAAAGTAGACACCCGAAGAAAATTCACAACTGATAATTATGGACAAATTATATATGGATGGATAGATTTTCTCCTGAAAAACAGGAATAATTTGCTGACGAATCATATAGATATCATGGAAAGGCGTAAAATTAAATTTTGGGGCTAGCCGTGTCTCGCATGTGACGTCACAAATCTTGATGCTCTACGGAGGACCGTGGAAGGCGGAAAATCTGGATCTCAAAATTAACATTTTTGAGAGATGATTACTGCATGCCCCAGACATGTTTTGAAGAGGGAAGTTGTTATATTTGATCAGTAAGGCTTCCCCTTCGCAATGATATGAATTTTGCATCAATTCAAAACACTTTAGTTTCTTCAGGCAACTACTTTAAATGAGCTCATAGCCCTTTACCAGATTATAGACCTCACAACTAAACTCAATCAGATAAAAGACAAGTACCACAAAAATGAATTTGTTAAATCAAATTTTTTAATGTAAAAAAAGGAAATGCATAATTTCATTTATGCTTAGTGCTTTCTTTAAGGCCAATTATGTTATACATATGTACACTATCATACAAAATTATAAAGAAATCATTTCACTGGAGGCAAATATGACAAATTAAAAATGAGATGAAATTAGGAAACTAGTAACCATTCATCTGTATTATTCATGATAAATAAAACAGAATCAGTTTTACTAAAATGCCAATTAAACCCCCCCCCCCCCCAAAAAAAAAAAAAAAAAAAAAAAAATTGCAATGGGTTTTACAATCCAATTTTCTTGAATGACTTATTAGTGATGAGCGTAGTTGGCTTTACTTTTTGGTTTAAAGCAAACTGAGAATTGCAGAAAATATAATACGCATGTGTCCTTGTAGTAATAAGTCGGGTGCCTGCAAGCACGTTACTGCTATAGACGATTTATAGCTCTTACTACTTGCTACTTGCAGACAGCTGACGAATATTCAAATTCATTGATATCTTCTTCAATATATGCTCAGAATTGACATCACCTTACGTACAAAGTGTTAACGTATTTTAATAATACAAACATCAGATATATACACATGTATATGTTGCTATATCAGGTATGGGTTATGCAAGCCTTGGGATAACCAAGGGCAGCCACCTTAGAAGAGTAATGCAAATAGTATAAACATGTCTGTAAGCTAGTAAGTCTGCTAAATGACTGAAATTATGCTTGTATGTTTGTCTTGCATCAATACAAAATAACTTGTAAGCGTAATAGTCAATATCATTGTACGTGTAATGTCATTTTAACTTATTATTTTTTAATAAAAAAAATATTTCATGCCGATATATGTGTACTTATCTCAACGACTTATAAGAAAATATTAGATATTGGTGTATAGTGATAATACATTTTTGCACATAACATATATATATGTGGATGAAATGAAAGCGTTAATATGCATATGCGGTCAAAAGCAACAGCTTTACTATGTATACTAAACCTTAGAAGACATAGCAGGGAGGCATAATATGAGGTTTCTAATAAGATAAATAATTGAAGAAATGGTCCATCGTTTCTCCGAAGCTTTCATACTGTATAATCTACTGAGCAGGCAGTCTTCACTGATTATCATCACTATGAAGGTCTATGATTGGCTGATCTCTAGTTGGGGTGGCGTAATCAGATAGAAGACAAGTTTTGATTGGTTGATACTTATGATGGGCTATGCTGTCAAAGATCAACTCACCGAAGATCAGTGATCATCATCACTATCAGAGTTTCACTATTGAGGTCTATGATTGGCTGATTTGTCATGGGGCTGGTAGGATCAGATATGAGGTACTCTGTGATTGGCTGATTCTTATAAAGGGCTATACTGTCTAACACCCACTCTTTAGGTATCACTGATCATCATCACTAACAAGGTCTATGGTTGGTTGATCTGTCATGGGGCTGGTGAAATCAGTCAAAAGGTACTCTGTGATTGGCTGACTCTTATAAAGGGCTATACTGTCTAACACCCACTCTTTAGGTATCACTGATCATCATCACTATCAAGGTCTATGGTTGGCTGATCTGTCATGGGGCTGGTAAAATCAGTTAAAAGGTAATCTGTGATTGGTTGACTCTTATAAAGGACTATAATGTCTAACACCCACTCTTTAGGTATCACTGATCATCATCACTATCAAGATCTATGGTTGGCTGATCTGTCATGGGGCTGGTGAAATCAGTTAAAAGGTAATCTGTGATTGGCTGACTCTTATAAAGGGCTATACTGTCCAACACCCACTCTCTCGAAATCACAGGAACTCTGAACTTTCTCTGCAGACCTAAAATGGAAAGACACACAAAGAATATTACAAAATCAATCTGATATACATGTATTAACCAGAACTAACCTACATTCTATATATAAAGTTTTAAATGTAAACATTCAAGATTCTGGTGATATGGAACAATGAAGGGAACCCATCGTAGCAGTTTCAAATACATTTCTACTAAAAATTAGTTATTAGTTTTTCTTTCAAAGTTTGAATTTACATGGTAGACTAATCCTGACAGATTAATTGTCTTTGTAGATAACATTTCCTTGGCACCAAACTTTGTCTTGTAAAAAAGCAATTTGTCTCAAATCACATAATTTTGATTTCAATTGTGGTGTATTCTACACTTCTTTTCCTCTCTGTCTGTCTCTCTTTTACTCCTTTTATTGCTATCTCTGTCTGTTGGTCTGTCCGTCTGTCTCTTGCTCTCCTTTCATCTCTATCTCTGTCTGCCTATCTCTCTCTCTCTCTATCCTTTTATCTCTATCCCTCCCTCAGTTTGCCTGTCTCTGTCTGTTTGTCTCTCTCTCCCTCAACCTGTCTGTCTCCCTCTTAAAATATGTTTATGTAATTTCTTTTTCTATGAGCAGGACCTAATGTATTCAAGCGTGACTGTCTTTTTAAGGTCCTTCCATCTGCAAACGTTTTCTTCCATTGTACATTACACATACCGTAGTTATATAGTTACATAGTCGCATCAATATGCCTACCGTATACAGTCAAACCTGCTTTAGACACCTGTCTACAAGGACCACATTTTTTGTTTCCCATGAAAATGGTTTCTCATTCAAACATGCACTGAAGGAACCTGTCTACAAAGACCACCTGTCTATAAAGACCACTTTTTGTGTTTCCCTTGGGTGGTCGCTATAGACAGGTTTGACTGTATATCAAACATTCATGTATTTATACATGTATATATTTGCCTTTGAGTGGAATAAAAACTATAACTGAACTGAGCTGAACATTCTCTTCTTCTGGGACCCGTTTCACAAAGCCTTTTTTCGATGACAAATGTCCAAAATCAGTGACAAAATTGCTGATAACCAATATCAGAAGCAAGGATTTCAGTAGCTTATAACAAAAACTGTAATTTGTCAATGATGACAAGTTTTGTGAAATGGGGGCCCTGGAGAACAAAACTGGGTCGATTGCATGTTTGAATGAATTAGTTTCAAAGAGTCTTACCTTGGTAGTTTCTGTCTGTGTCTAGGTTGGGTTCTACGACGATGAAGGCCTTCCTACCGGGGTTGTAGGGAAAGAGAGATGGATGCTGGACTGTGGAGGCACCACACATCTCACACAGACCTACTAGCTGATCTATAGGGGTAGAGAGAGGGAGGGAGAAAGAGGGAGGGAGGGAGAGAGAAAGAGAGAGAGAGAGGGAGAGGAGAGAGAGAGAGAGAGAGAGAGAGAGAGAGAGAGAGAGAGAGAGAGAGAGAGAGAGAGAGAGAGAGAGAGAGAGAGAGAGAGAGAGAGAGAGAGAGAGAGAGGGAGGGAGGGAGGGAGGGAGGGAGGGAGAGAAAGAGGGAGGGAGGGAGAGAGAGAGAGAGAGAGAGAGAGAGAGGGAGGAGAGAAAGAGAGAGGCAAATAAAGACTGGAATTAAAAGACATTTCAAATTTCTTAAAATTAAATCTACAAAATTGTGAAGAAAAGAAGAAAATCACAGATCACGCAATATGGACAAAAAGAAGAAGAATAAAATAGATGCAAAGTCACGCGCATTGACTGCAATTAAGACTCCCTTCTGACGTTACATAACATTTTGCAGGGACAAAGCTCTCTAATACAGGATATGAATTCACTGGGCTGTACACTTCGCTTTCTCATCATGTGTGTGTGCGTGTGTGATGTACATGTAGTTGGGTTTATACAGACACGTATTTTGGAACTGGTGTTAAACATCACCAGCGCATCCAAAAGATAATAATGGGGTTAAATCTTAGGCTGTTTTTATTGCCATACCAAAGACAGGACCACTGAACCTACACTCATCTGCTAATTCATCTTTTGCCCAATAGGCTATTTTCATATAGGTGTTTTTGTGAAGAGCCTTGATGTAAATTATTTCATTCACCTGTTACCAATAGTTGTATTTCAATAGTCTGAACGGTAATTGCATACACTAGTTGCTGCTAGGTAGAACAAACAAAATGGCTTGCTCTACCTAACAAGATGTTATAAACTAGTATGCAATTTGCATACTGACTATTGAAATACAATTTGTTGTAACAGGTCAAGGAAATATTTCCTATCAAGGCACTTCACTGAGACGTATGAATCAAATTTGGTTACATTACGAAATTGGCCTATTAACATTGAATCTTGTACGAGGGCTATACTTAGCTGTCGAAATACAGAGGGCATCCTGGGGGGGGGGGGGGGGGGGGGGGGGGGTTGTTTCACAAAGATCCTAAGTTGGACTTAACAATTATGGGAAGCCGTTAGCATCTATGAAAATATAAGTAATTTTAAAAGGCATACAATTTGATTTAAACCATTCATATTAGCTATTATCAAGGAGATTTCGTGTTCTCGATGTGGAATTCATAAATGGTCTAAAATACTTGAATTTCCACTTTTGAATATATTTTAAGGCTACAAATGGCTCTCTATAATTTTTAAGTCCAACTTAGAGTTAAAGAGAAGGTTGAGTTCTGGGAAGAGGTGAAAAATAATGTGTGAGCGTTATCATCGTTATTATGCAAATGTGGAAGAACATCAGATCAAAAATGTTGCCTGAAAAGCATGGCTCTTCAAATGCTTTAAAATTCTAGATATGACATGCAACAGCATAAAAACTTCCTGATTTTTATGCCACATGTTTGTGTAGTCCCATATACTTATTTCTGTGTACAGTGCTTGTAACTTGACCAAGGCTGGGCCGAATTTCTTATCATTTTGATGATTCCAGAACCTTGCAGTACACACCAATACTTGTATGCTAGATGATCAACCTTTTCTGATCGATTCCACACCATTTATTTCACAGTGCAATCCCATGACCAGAACTCAACTCTATCTTTAAGTTCGACTTAGGATCTTTGTGAAACACTCCCCTGTTCTGTCTTACCTTTGTTGAGTCCAGTAAACGGTCCTATGCAGCATAGATCAAATTTAGCCATGAAGCCTGGTCCTTCCACAGTCCTGGCCCTCTTGGGTCCGTGATGGTCCTCACCATTCACCACGTCACCTCTGACCTCATAGTCTTCCTCCGCCAGGATTTTTCTTGCTTTCAGGCTATCATGAACCCCTGTCAGGAGATGAACGTACGATTGTGGTTACAAATATTCAAAACAAATACAAAAACAAACTTTTTCTGTTGAAATCTGCTGCTCATTAAAGTGACAAAATAAACAATATTTGCGTTCATGGAGACAAAGACTAATTGGTAAAATATAAAACATTTAAAAAATGACTAATACTTCACATATTCCAACAACTACTCTCTGGGCAATTTTTAACACTAAATTTTTTTTATTTGTCTCTTAACCAAATACTACACCATACCTGCCAACATTTGAAAATGAGAATTAAGAATTTTTAGCACGGTATGTCTTAGAAAATAAGAAATCTGTACCCTTAACAGGCGTTCGCACATGCAGCGGCAGTGTTACTGGCAATATGCGGTAAATCTGTGCAAAAAAGCGAATACGAATTCGCTGCTCAATCATGCAGCCCTTCAACGCACGCAATACGTGAACTCTCACATCGCGGCATATGATAAAACAAGCTTAATTTGGATTAAGCAACACACACAAAAAAAAAATTGGGGGGTCCTAAAAATCCAGAAAAAACAGAATATTCCGGATTATTCGGAAGGGTTGGCTACACATGTCTTTACCAAACCCCAATGCTAAACTGATTTAACTGAACCTATAAGCCAAATGCAACCCAAGCCACTTTATTGATGACAAAATCAGCCCCAAAGAAACGATGAATCACCTATCACTAACTAGATGTAGAAATAATAATTTGGAAACTTGAAGAATACACACATAATGCAATAAATTCATTTTGATCAGGGTCCCATTGCACAAAACTTACCATTGATAGTAACTTTGCCATCAATGGTAACTACATGTACCATGGAAACCTTGGTTTTGATTGGCTGTTGAGCCCTGTTACCATGGCAGTTACCATCAATGGTAAGTTTAATGCAGCGGGCCCAGTTCTATTGCAATCTTGTATGAAAGAAATATAGAGGTAAGGATTATAAATTGGAAAAGAAGGAAACTTGGGAATTAAGGGGTAGAAAAAGAAGACAAGTGACAATACCAATGCTAATGATTCAGTACACTTCTCAATGTATATACAGTCAAACCTGCTTTAGTGACCACCTGTCTACAAGGACCACATTTTTTGTTTCCTTTGAAAATGGGTTTCTCATTGAAACATGTACTAAAGGAACCTGTACATAAAGACCACCTGCCTATAAAGACCACTTTTCTTGTCTCCCTTGGGTGGTACTTATAGACAGGTTTCACTGTTTATTGAATTGAATGTGTAACCATATACTTACATTGAAAGCTAACGATCCATGCACGAGCTGCAATGCCTTGGAAATATTTTAGAGTACGCTCGCAAACTAGGGAAGAATCTGTGGATATATATTTGACAAGCATATACATGTATTCAATACAGTTTCAGAAAATTGATGTATGAAGCTAAATCAGTATGGTCTTGATTTTGTTTTCTGCTCTTGCTTTTACCTTCAAAATAGTATTTAGTTCACCGAGCTCTGTTATTGTAAGTTTACAATAAGCATTTAAGAATATGATATTCTTTCTTTCTGTTACCTGGTACTTGTACATGGAAAGCAAATAAACAAATGGTCTTCTAAAAATGCATTAACTGTCTCCAACAAAAGAGTATGACTATAAATATCAAGATGAAAATTAAATGACATCTACATGTAACAGTCATTGGGATACGAGTGTGTGAGTGTGTTTAATTGGTTCGTGTAGAAGTGTATCAATCAGAACTGATTTTTTATGTCTAGGATCAACCCTTAATGTCACCATCCAAATGGCGCGACGAAGTTTCGAACATGGGTCCTAACAGAGTCCGTTTGTAGGCGAAGACAGAGAACGGATCGTACTGCGGACATTTCCGCTAGACCAACTCACATCTTACACTTACACACATCTTACAGATTTTATCACTATGATGTGTAAAAGGCTTCATTCAGTGATACATTTAAAAGCTGTCTGTACTAGTTTGGCCAGAAGGGATTAGACCACCAGCGAAGTGACTGACAGGTGGCTGTCTCATCAACTCAGCTCTCAATTAACATAAGAAAAAGAGGATCATGGGGGACCAACAGGCACCGATTGGGGAAGTTTTCTATATAGAGGGAGCAAGTAGCTACAAGTAGTACAGTGGGGCTTTAAATCACTCACCTGTCTTGACGATGACGTGAGTGGTGTTGGCGTTGAAGGCACTGGCAAAACGACAGTTGGCTAGCTGACTTGTCAGTTGCTCGACTTGACGCTGTAGGAGGGGACAAAGACATAACTTTTTGAATGAGATTGCATCTCTTTACTAATATTCATCCACCTATGTTTTAGTAATATTGGTTGCTGATATATCATCATGATTTCATTTATTAATGTCATCATGCACACACAAAAAAGAAAATTGGAGTCTATCTGCAGATTTGGTAACTAGTAGTAGGCTATGCAAAGATTTTAAACATAATTGTAAATTGACCTTTGATCATGATGTAATCATTTAAAAATCTAATCAAGTCATCTACAAATGCAAAGATAACATATCAAAAGTTCTTATTTTTATGCCACTTGAAATATTTGAGATTTTTCAAGTGAATTGCGTATGTTTCTAACACAATTACCCCCAAAAATGTATTCAACACATCCAAATTGGGATGAAATTTGAAAATGTGTTTTTAGAGATATTACAAAAACAAAGTCATATCTATGATCCTCATGTAAATGGCCTCATTAAAATTGATCCAGTGAGTCTGTAACTCAGGATCTATGCAAGAACACATACAAAGATAATACTTACCAGTTCTAATCTATTCAGACCAGTAGCGATGAGGGACATGGGTCGAGAGGAAGGTCTAGGACTTGGACCTGGTCCTGCTTCAGGAGTTCTCAGAGACTGATCTCCAGACCTTCTCTCAGAGTGGGCGGGTGACCTCTGAGTCTTCATAGAGACATCCACTGGGCTTGGTACCGAGGAGGCCCCAGGGGTTCTTCCAGGTGTCAGTCGGTCTTGCAGGGTGCGAAACTTGGGGGTCTGATGGCCCCGAGGAGTGGCGATTCCTGGGGTGCCGTGACCCCTTCCTTGTTGTGTCTTAGACAGTGACCTTCCACTGGCTGATGCTCTACTGGAACTGAGTGTTGGAGTTGTTCTTGAAGGAGGTGTAACGGAATGAACAGTTTTACGTTCTTCAACTGTCCTACCGACTGAGTTTGATCTCGACTTTGCTGGTGAGTTCACCCTATCTTGAATTAAGTCCCCATCGCTGTCCACACTGTCTACTCTTCTCTTCTTGGAGCTTGTTCTCGACGCCCCTGCCCTAGGTGAAGAAGAATTCCTAGATGACTTGCATGAAACCATGGCAACATCATCATCACTCCCATCATCATTACCAGAGGCATCCTTCGGGTCGTCCTCTATCCGTCTCTTCTTCGTAGTGACCTTCTTAGAGCTACTCTTTCGGTACTGCTCCACCATACTGGTGACGGAGCGGATACTGTCCGACATCGACAACGACGATGATGCCTTCCTGACGGTGCTCGGTGACAAGGGTGGAGGAGGAGACGGAGATCTTGGTTCAATCATGTCCTTCTCATCATCCATCTCGTCCTCTTCGTCTGAGGTTTCCAGCGCTTTGCTTCTACGCTTTGTCCTTCCTGGGCTACTTTGTCGAGACCTTGCCGAGTTGTTTTGCTTCTTTGAAGCAGGAGTGGATGCCCCTTCTGTTTCTTCGACGATGAAACCTTGGGGACTCTCCTCCGCCTCCACCTTCTCTTCCTCGTCTTCATCATTAGTATCATCGTGGCTCCTGCTCCCTCTCTCTCTGGCCAGTGCTGCATGCAGCTCTGCCATCTGCTCCTCGAGGGCCTCCATGTCTTCACGAGTCTTCTCTTGTTGCTGCCAAGCAAACAACAAAGACATTTTTCTGAATATAAATTGATGCCCTTAATACAGGGATGCCATTTAGAACTGATCAGGGGGCCTGAAAATCACCTAAAATGAGCTATTTTGTACACAAAAAAGCCTAAACTAAGGTCTGAAAATAACTTGACAGGGCCTAAAAATTGGCATCCCTGCCTTAATAGCAATTCCATCTGTAATAGCATATATCCATCCATTAAAAACATTTTCTGAGTCTAGGACAACTGCTCCCTTGAATATCACCCAAGAAAACTATTCCCCTGCCCACTCGACAACTATATCTCCATAATTAAGACAAATACAGCCCCCGACTACATCTCAAACAAATACTGTACCCCCCTAAATTCAATAGCTTTCTGATTTTGATATACCATGCATTTTCCCTCCATCACTGACTCGGTAATCTCAAGGCAAATAGAAGTGAAGTCATTAAAAATAAATGACCGGCAACCAGGAATCTTGACAGAGCACTTGTTAAAACTTATGACTATCAAAGTGTCAGAGGATCATTCGACCTTTGACCTTTGTATTATTACAGTTACCATTCCTACCTGTGTGTTCATGATCTCACTCTGACTGGAGGGAATAGATGAAGCACTGGTGAGGTTCATGTGATGACTGGCACAACTATCTTCGGAACTCACAGACCCTCCTGGAATCAAGAACAACAATCACTCGTGAAAATCACTAGGGTTATAATCTGCAAGGGCTACTATGATTTAATATAAATCTGGGACCTGTCTTACATAGAGTTGATATCAATCGGAACTTATTTGCGATTGATATAAATTGCAACTATGTACATGAGAGAAAGGAGACTGCAAACTTGCGATTGATTTGGATCAACTCTTTGTAAGACGGGGCCCAGGTTGTATGTCAGCAGATTTTATGAATTACAACGAACTGGCTAAATTGTGATTGAGTAGTGGCTGTTTAAAGAGCATGACCCCCTTCCTGTTTCTTGATTCTTTGGTGCTTCTCATGTACAGGTGTATACATAATCTTTTAAAAAGTTGGTAGTGACTTAAAAAAGAATCAGTTGTCACAGAATCTAATGAAATTTAAACAGAATGTTAAAACCTCAGAATAGATTTTAGCAAAACAAATTTGACAATGTTTGATTCCTGTATGATTAAAAAAGGAAACATTTAGGATCACAAATAAGGTGAACTACAACACCGTTATGCTGGCCCACGATGTCTGATATTCTTAAATTCAAAGCATTGAAGTTTTTAGACTTTTGCAAAATCCTTTAAACAACTTCTTATAGATTTTTAAAAATTTAGAACTGCAACCTTGTGTATTATTTTGTCAACAAATTTTACAAATTCTGTTCTTGAACCTTTCTTGTAGAAAATCTGACTAAAAATATTTACCATATGCTCCATGGCTAAGGTGAGGACCTGTGTGGTCTCCGAAGAGTACCATGGGGTTGTCCTCATCATCATCTTCAACTTTCTCTACAGGTTTCTGGACCGAGGTCTGCAAAAAGGAACATGGTATCAGTTCATCATCACTTTCATCTTCCTCATCTCTTGCAACTTGAACCATTCTCCGAGACTTCCTGCGTTTCTGTCTCCCGATAAAGCCCTCCTCCTCTTCCTCCTCCTCATCATCGTCATCATCACTTACATCGTCTGTGATCACCTGCTTTCTCCGTCTAATGGTCGTTTTCGGTATTTCATCGCTTTCGTTCGAGGATTTGATGGGAGGTTCTGATTGTGTGTCTCCAATAATCTGAGATGTTACCTTCCTACATGTCTTACTTCGTGGTCCATTCAGCCTCAAGTCACAAACTGAAGGCTCCCTAGGCGACAACTCAGGGTGCTCGGAGGCAACTTCCTGATCTCCACCTTGAACAGTCACAACATTCTGGTCTCTAGCACTTTTCTCTCTTCGATCCACTGACCCACGTTTTCGTTTTACAGGAGTGTCCGCTATGCTTTTGTCTTCAGTCTGAGACCGAGGTACTTTGTTTCTCTTTCTGGACACAACAGTCGGCGTCTCCATGACGAGACTCTTTGACCGAACAAAGTCCTGTTCTTTGGTGGTATCTTCACTGGGACACAGGAGAGAACTCATATCAGGTTCCAACTCTTCCTGTGCCTTCTTTTTCTTTGGTATTGCTTTTGAGAGTCCACTTGTATGAAGAAAGGACGACATGCGGGACTTGGACATGTCATGACAAGGAGGGGTGGGTGGTATGAGGGCTTCAGTTTCCTCATATTGACAACTGCCTTGTGACATCATTGCATCCTTTGTTTCATCAATCTCATCGGGTACATTAAGATTTTGAGATTTTCTTGTAGATCTTGGTGTTTCCTTCTGCATTACCTGCTGAAATTGTGATGCATTACCAGATGGCTTTTCTGAATTATCTAGATCACTTGAGCTACAAGTATCTTTTGCATTAAGGTCCTTGGACAGAAGCAGAATCTCTGCATTCATGCTCTGGGATTCTTCAATTCCCTTGGCTCCCTGATTACCAGCTGTTTCTTCCTCGTCAAACATATCCCTGGACTCCTCGTCGAAATTGCAGGTGTCCAAGGATCTGTTGCACTCCTGAGACGCTTCCTTCTCGGCCAAGGACATTCCAATGCTTTCATCAACAACGGTGATGCATTCTTGAGGTGGAGTGCTAATTCTTTGTTCGATTTCCTGTTCCTCCTTTGCAGTATTACTCATAGCAGACTCATTTCGTGGCTGGACCATATCTCTTGATTGTCTTGCACTTCTTCGTAGCACCCTAGGTGAAGACCCTGGTGTGCGCTGAGGATTCTCTGGCCCTTCATGCAGGGTTTTCTTTGACTGCAGTTGGAATGCTCTGGCAGAAATGATGACATCTGATGACCGTTCATTCATTTCAGATGCACCTTGTGTTGTCGGGATTGCACTGCCATCCGATACTAACCAATCTGATTTGGTAGATATCTTGTTCCTTCTACTGGAAGAACGTCTTCCACCTCTAAGGCTTGAGGCCTCGTTGCAATTGCCATCAAAATCACCACCTGGATTGGATGGACTAGGCTGCACAACTGGTTCCTCAACATCGCTACCTCGAATAGGACTCTGAGTGGTGAGTCTACCACCACTGCGGCTTTTCCTTTTCAACGTCAATGATGATTTACTTGCAACTGACACCACAGTCTCCTGAGAAGTATAAGCACAAGATGGAGATTCTTTTTCAGAATCTTCTATATTCTTGACAGCACTTTTCTATTGCTCTGGCTGTCAGATAAAGGTAGGGACTTACTTTTCTTTCTTGTCATTGGACTTGCTGTCTGTTGAGATGTCAAGGTTTCATCTGCAACTTCTAATGTCTTGCTATCCTGAGGTGACTTAGATCCCTTCCTGACCGACCTTTGACAGGAAGGTGACTTCATGTTTTCAACAAAATCTATGTCTTCATCAGCTTCACATGTTTCTTTATGACTAGGTGCTTCTGGATCCTTTTGATATTGGTTGGCCTCTTTTGTCAGGTTTGATTTGTTTGAAGATGCAGTAGGTTGCTCGAGACTATCAGGAATTATTTGAATGTTCTGACTTGGCAGAGTGGCTTTCTCTTTGAAGCTGGAGCAGATGGACTTGCATCAATAGTGAATGTCTTTCGTTTCCTACGGGATATTCTCCTTGTTGGTCTGCTATTACCTGACCCTGAAGAAGTCTGAACCCCTTGCAAGTCACTGCCACCACAGGCTTCCTTTAGACCATCAACCTGTTGTATAGCTCCCGGTGAAGTCTGCATGGCAGGCTCCTTGACAATATCACCATCTGGTGTGTGCAGATTGCTTCCTTGTCTCCCATCCTCGGAAGCTTTCCTCTTTGATTGCTTCAGAGGCAGTAGCAGGGATTCGCTTGGCTGGGAGTTCAAATCAAGAGAAACTGGAAACGATCCTGAGGTCTTTGTCTGTGAAATGATTGTCACACTTGCTTGACTTGCCTGCTGCGCTGAGGAGCTTGAACCCGATAGTACTGTCAGGACCTCATCAGGCTTCTTGCTCAAGCAAACATCTACTTCTGTTTGCACCTGATCAGAAGCTGTGCCACTGCTGTTTCCACTGGGGCCTGGAGAAATTCCCAAATCAGGATTTTGTTGACTGGACATTGAAGGCAGAATACATTCCATAATGGACATCTCATCATCAAGAGGAGGCTTTTGTTGTTTTTTAGGAGGACTGTTAACATCTTTCTTAGCTGATGACCCTCCTGTTGATGGTTCAAACTCTTTCTCCAAAGCTCCATCTGGGTCTTCATATTCGTCGCTATCGATTTCCAAGTCAATGGACTCTGTAGTATCTGATCCTCTGCACTTTTTAGGACTGACTTCATCGTTGTCAACTTTGGGAATGTCCTCAGTATAAAGAGGCAGAGATGCTTGAGTTGGTACTTCAACTTCAACGTTCTCTCCTGCTTCTCTCTCTGCTCGCTCAATGGCTGGCAAACTTAATTCTGCTTCATTAGCCACATCACCTGCACCACATAGTTCTCTCACAACTCCTCTTATTCTTTCTGGATCTGTCTCATTTTGTTGAACTTCTTCTGATACCTTAGCTTTCTTCTTCTTCTCCACTCTACCAGACAACACTTCTTCAGGAACATTGTTGTTGCTGTTAGGAGGCCCTGGATGAGAACCACGTTTAGACCTTCTCAATGATGGGGTCAACCGTTGGGATGATTTGCTTTCAGGGGTGCAGTCATCTGCAGGTTGTTGATTCATGGAGCTCTTAGTATCCTCTACTTTCCCTGGCCTTGATGATTCCAAATTCTGCTCTTGACATTCTACCTCGACGATTCCAGTTTTGGGAGACAGTTCTCCCTCAAGACTCTTCTTTCCTTTGGGTTGGTCTAAAATAAAGGGAGTCTCAGGAATTGTCAAAACTCTTGCTTCAGGAGTGTCATTCTGTAAGACTTCACCATTCTGATCCTTTGCATGGATATTTCTCTGAATTCCTGGAGAAGCTTTTCTTTTATCAGAGGCTGAAGCCTTCCTTTTATCTGCTCCAGTACTAGTTCTTTCTTTAACAGTTGTTTTGACAGGAACTCTTTTGAGATTTTGAGTTTCAAATGAATCAATATCAATTGTTTCATTAGATTCTTTCTGCTGATTTTCTTGGACATGGCCTTTAGATTTCCTGACAGGTATACTCTCAGGAACCTTCTCAATGGTAAGTTTACCCTTCCTCCTTCGGGATGATCTTCCACCAGTTTCAGTGGGTTCACCTTTGAGATGCTCTGGCTCGGTGCCGAACTGACGGGCCAGCTCAAGAGCTAGCTCCCAGTCGCTCTTGATTGTGGCAGCTTTCGATTCCTTTCTCGCAGCTGCTGATTCCTTCTTTGCAGCTTTGGCCTGTTCCTTGAAGTTTTCTTCCATGCGCTGCTTCACGGTTCTACGTCTGGGGGGAGATTCTTTGTCCACATTCTTTGTGGATGTATTCATAGTTGAATCTTCAATGTCATGGATGTCTTCTTCACCTCCTGCATGATCCAGTGTCCTCTTTTCTTCTCTTGATTCTTTGTTGAGTCTACCTGAATGACGTCTGCCATTTCTACTCTCTAATACTCCTGTTTTATCTCTCTTTTGGGGAGTAAGTTTCATTTGGTTAATTTGGTCTTCTTTTGATTTTGATTCCTCAACTGGTTCTGACTGATCTACAATGGTGATTACTTTGGGGAGGACTTCTGGGGTACATTTGCCTTCCTCCAAAGGCAAACTCTCGTAATTTACATCATCACTTCCTTGATCGGTTCCTTGAGTAACAAGAATGTCTGAGTGTTCTTCTGAATTTTCTGCCCCCTCTTTCTCCTCTTCTTCTCCATCATCATCAGACTCATCACTTCCTGCATTCTTACTGACCAGCCAGTCTAGGATCCTATCCTGTGGATCGAGAGGCGGACTCTTGTCCACCCCATTCTTTACTTTGCCATAGGTAGTGGCAAAGACCCTTCTTCCATGATTCTTGTTGATCACTACCGGCTGGGAGTCGATCATCATCCCTCCTTCAGATGACTGCTGGCTCCCTTGGATATTGCCACCAGCTCCCCTTGGTCTTCTGATGACCACAACAGGTGTAATAGGTAGAGGATGTTTTATCAGGTTCCGTTCCACATGTGGGACCTTCTCTTGAGCATTACCATTAGTTTTGAGACAGTTACCACCTTCGTTGTCAAGACGAGCAACAGTATCATCCATGACTACATCTGCACTATCCATAAGGTCAACATCTTCAATGATGGCTGTGGGAGTTTCATCCTCCTTTGCGAGATGGGTATGTGATTCCTTACCTCCATTCTTAAGATGACTGGATGTTCGAGTTGCATTCTGTCCCTTTGAGTTGGCTTTAGCAATAAGCTTCACACCCTCATCTACAGTCTTGCTTTGGTTTATTGCACTCTCTTGATCGCTTTCAGAGCAGCTACTGGCACTCCTATGATCCCTCTTTGGAGCTCCCAGTTTTGTAAACCTCCCGTTCCTGATTGGAAATTCCTTCTTTCCATTCTGATTCTTCTTTCTCCCAGCTTTCTTTTTCACTTTCCGTGGGGTGCGCTGGCTGGGCACAAACTCATACGGATCTTGATCCCCTTCTTTAGGATTGTTCACTTGGCCAAGGACTCTAGGTGCAGGCACCACAAAGATTTCTGAATCTGCAGGAGTCGTCAGATTCTGAGATATATTTGGTTGACTGTCAAGTATACGACTCCCTTTTTCCTCGGGATGTCCAGAATTGATTGGAAGTAGATTGATTTCATTATTTAGCCGGTTTAACTCGTTGCTGTAGCCGGAGATGATATCCCTACGGCTGGTTAGGGGTGCAGCGTTTAGAGCGGCCAGAAGATCCTCTGCCTCTTTCTCCAATTCTTGATCATCATCATGGTAACCCTTTTTGCCACCGGTCTTCAGTCTTGGGAAGGATGAACTGTGTTTTTAAAAAAGAATGTGCGGATGGCTGACAGTTAGAAATATACAGGACATTCATTATATATTGACTAAACTGCCTATATTAAACGCAAAAACCATTTTCATGTGCTTTTCGTTTACAAAATGCAAATTCATCCTATGACAAATGCCCCTTGAAATCCAAAATGACTACCACATTTTAGCAATTATAAGATATCACAAAACTGTGAAAAACTGAACTAAAGTTTCCCCAATACTCAAAAAATTTGAACAAAATCCCTGCATTTTCTAAGAAACGGTACTTAACCGACTTTAAAAACTTCTGAAAACCCATGTCTAACATTTACATTATGTGTTTAATGACTAAAGAACAGTGCTTTGTATCCATTGGAAATTGTGATGTGTAAATCCATTTTCTCCTTCTTTTTCTTCTTATTATTAGTACTGTAATGGCGCTAGTGAAAGTCACTATCCTCCTTTTTTATTCATTACATAACATAAACAGACATAAGTGGAAATTGTATGCAGCTTTGACAAGTTGCCTATAGATTAGAAGATGCTCATTTTGGGGGCTCACCTGATGTTAGTATGACCAACTAGAGGAAGCTCGAAAGCATCACTGTCGCTGGATTCACTGTCATCTCGATACACACTCACAGTCTCGGCAGCTTTCCTTTTGGTCTTTCGCACGTTGCCAGCTCGCCCTTGACCTTTGACCTTGGAAGATATTTGACCTTTCGCCTTCTTCTGAGGCGTCGGCTCTCTGGGCTTCGGGTCGGGCTGGGAGAAGAGGACTGGACCTCGTGGTGGAGAACCTACAAAGTGATTGGATGACACACATGAGTTATCACTTCAAGGGATTTGACCTAATATTATATTTAAACAATTTCATGGGGCTACTTTTCAAGCTTGTTTGCATGGAAATAACACTATTAATTTGTTTCGCATTGATCTCTATGCAAATTATCGGGGGCTCTTTTAAGTCTTTTTGGCATTTTGGGGACCACTTCGCCCCAAGACCCTGTGTATTTTTTTCCCTGGACCTTAAACCGTTAGTGCGGTGATGACAGTCTGGGCTATGGGACAGCTCAAAAGAGAGAGGATGGAAAATAGGTATGTACAAAACTGATATGGTATCATCTAGATATATTTGCTACAGTGTAGGACGAAAAAAATACATAATTTGTCATTCAAACCTTAGAATATGAAAAAAGGTTATGTGATGACTATTAATGTGAAAATGGGGCAAAGCAATATAGGGCGTTTAGATGAAGAGATCGGAGAATGAAGATGTGACTCACATCGTAATCCCGAGTCCTCTTCCACGGCAGTAATGACGGAGCGTACAGCTTTCACGATCCCATCCAACTGCTCATTCTTGGTCAAGCTCCTGTTTGGAAAAGAACAATAATTCCATCACATCAACTTTAAGCAAATCAATAAACAAGAGCATAAATATGGTAAATTAGTAATGCTATAATGAAAACAAGAAATACATTGAAACCGGTGTACCTCTATAACGACTGCTCATAGGAGACAAGAAATGCAATGTCAACAAGCCGGTGGGCTTTAAAGCCCCACTGCACTACTTATAGCTACTTGCGCCCTCTATATAGCAAACGATGCCTAATCAGTGACCATTGGTCCCCCATGGTCCCCTTTTTCTTATGTTTATTGAGAGCTGATTTGATGATAACCACCCGTCAGTGACCATGCAGGGAGGTCTAATCCCTCCTGGCCAAACTAGTGCAGCTAGGCTTTAAGTTCAGTTCTCTTAAATACAGGTTTCAAAGAGAAGGTGAACAAACAAATACAGGTGGGCGCTAGAGCAGGTTTCACTCATATCGGGATAAACAAGACAAAAGGAATTTTGAGGGCTCACCTTTTAGTGATGACAATCTTACATAGAGGGCAGCGTGCAGAAGGCTTACTGGAACTCTGCAACAACGCTAGAACACAGAAGCTAAACAATATCAAAGAAACAAAAACATGATTATATTTTGTTGACAAAACCTTTCAAAAAAAAGTGACTAGCGGTTACTGAATGAAATAGGTATGTAAGAATAGGTACAGTATGTAAGTAATACAGTCAAACCTGCTTTAGTGACCACCTGTCTACAAAGGCCACATTTGTTGTTTACCTTGAAAATGGATTCTCATTGAATCATGTACTAAAGGATCCTGTCTACAAAACCACCTGTCTTCAAAGGCCACTTTTTTGTGTTTCCCTTGGGTGGTCGCTATAGGCAGGTTTGACTGTAATTAAATCACGTTGTTGAGTTTGCAAATTGTTTTAATTTTCAAATAAGATTAGAATTTAGACTGTACGCAAGAAATGATTTACATATTGGCAACATTTTGTGATAACATCTTGCAATTTCAACACCATTCAGCACTTCTCAGCTTGACTTTCTTGCTTACTTTTCTTTTGGGCTAGAGACAATTGTCAACCTCATCCCACTTTTTTTGTTTCAAGTCAAAATTTTCATTTTTTTGTTATGATGTTAAACTTTTATCAAATAAATTTTTTCCTTCTTCAAAACATTTGTAGATTATTTTAAGTTAGATTTGGGGCAAAGCTTTTAAAATGTTTAAAACACACCATACCAGTGTTTGGGGGTAAGAGTCACTTACTTGCAGAATTGATGATCACACTTTGTTGAAACAGGATCCTGAAGCAAGTCCAAACTGTAAGTAAACAAAAATAAAATCAAACAAAATTGGTTTTAGAGGCTAGAACAGCTAGTTAAAATAAACACAGACCTACCAGAATGTGTAACTCATTACATACTCTATCACTGTGCTACCAACTTTGCCCTTTGTATAAGTGGCTTGTCATCATTAAGCATCAACTAGTCCAAATGTAGTCCTAATCCAAGGACAAGGTATAAGGATCTATATGCTGAAAGAGCTCTCGTAAAAATTGATTTTTTTTTTTTTTAATTTAATTTTTTTATCTGTAAGTTGTAACGTGCCATTTAAGCCCATCCACGGTAAAATTGGCTCTTTCTTTAAAAAAAAATACAACAAAGGCAGAGATGCCAGCCACAAAAAACAGACTGAATATCCTTTAAAAAAATCAGATTTTCATGAAAACTTGACACTTCTACTGGCCCGTTGGCCCTGGGCCAGTAAAATTCCAATTTTTTTTTTATACTGGCAAGAACTTAAGTGTAAAACGTTTGCTCATTCATTAACATTTAATGAGAAAATTGTAAACCAAAGTTTCTGTCAGGGTTGCGTGGGTTTACTTGTACCGGTACATGTTTCTATGCGATTCCACGGTTTTTATAGGTAAAAAAAAAAAAAAAATTGTTGAAAAATGAAGAAAAAAAAAAAATTGTATTTCAAGAGACGAATTGTATTATCGTATTTCACTCTTATTATCGTACTGGTTGGCACCTCTGCAAAGGTAACTCCCAAAAGATCCTTCATGACATGATGAATTTAAAAAAAAAGGTGATATTTTGTTACATCTGTAATGTGACTTCACTTACCAAATTGAACACTCCAAGTTTTTCTGCATCAACCCGATGCTGTCTGTGATTTTCTTCAGTCTGACTTCAGCCATGTTTGCTCGCCTTCATCTCAATGCAAGCCTTTACTGAATCCTCATCACTCCCACATTCAGCTCTATAAAATGGAGTAGTAGAAGAACAAAGGAATTTCACAGATTTTAAACGTTTTTGGATATTTGTGAATTTTCAATTGAAGGGTCACAAATTTAAAGGGAATTTCAACCGCAATAGCAAACTACACTAGAAGCAGACTGGTGAAAGTTTGTGAATGAAATTGGACAAACAATGAAGTAGAAGAAGAAAAAGAAGAAGCTAAAAGGAGGAGAAGAAGTACGGTAGTAGAAGAAGAAAAAAAGGAAGAAAAAAGGACTATTTTTTTTCTAGTGTTGGCCAATATCCCTTGCATTGAATTCTCACATCGAATTGCCAAAAATGACAGCACTTACATGTAGCATGCACACTCCTTAATTTCAAATAATTCTTTTCCCCCGATCCGAGCGGGGGAGCTAGGGAGTGTGGGAGAGGGTTCCACCTCCCGGAGTATACTTAGAGAATTGTTTTGGTTTGGAATTGTTAGGTACTATGCCTACAGTATTTTGGAAAGTTTGAATGAAATTGGACAAACAATGAGAAACTTGTGAATTTTTAGAAGTTGTATCACTATACATGTAGGTATGAGCTCTTCTGTCTTCGAATTTGCCAAGTTCTTTATGCCTCTGTGATGTAGTGGCAGACAGGAGAGTCATGGAGCGAACTTTGAGACATTTTGCAAGGTAAGTCGTGTGCAGGAATGGATGATTACTATCACATTTCAGAGTTTGTACACAAACTTTTTTGCACAGGCATATGGATGCCAATTCAGGCTTGGTGATATCAAAATCGTATTATCCTCAATCCAAGGCCAGGCCTACATGTAGGTCAGGCATGGACCTCCCGGTTAGATAAATCTTGGCATAATTTCTTAATGTTAAATTTGTTACACCTAAACAAATTGATATGATACCAATAACACAAAAGTACACAAAACTTGGCCAAACTTAATCCCTAATTTTGATATTTTACCGGATGCATTTCCGATGTATTTATATCCCTAAATTATCTCCATGCTTCGGTTCCACCTACCAACTTGACTACTTCAATTCGTTTAATGGTCCCTTTTCAGGAAATTATGGGTCAAGATCGACATCCATGAAGAAAATCTTGCAGCCGGGTTGCGTCTCTTGTAGTTTACGCCGAAGGCAAAATGATTTAGATTTCACCCAGAGAAGTGTACTGTGTTGAAAATTGGCAGGTCCCCCTCAAGTTATGATTATCGCATGAAGAATGGCAATGAAACTACAATCCTGAAAGAATCTAAAGTGGAAAGGGATCTCGGTGTGCTTGTCGATTCTAAGCTGACCTTCAAAGACCACATATCCCATGTTATATCCCTGGGTCTACAAATGTAACAGGCTACTGGGGGTGATACGAAGATCATTCGCAAACATGGACACGGACACTTTCAAACTCTTGTACATAGGCCTTGTAAGGTCTGTCTTGGAGTACGGACAAGCTGCATGGTCACCATACAGGATAGGTGAACAAAAGAGACTTGAAAGCGTCCAACAAAGAGCTACAAAGATGGTACCTAGACTGAAGAATCTTCCATACGAAACACGTCTGAGATACCTGAAGCTACCGTCTCTTGCCCATCGCAGAAAGAGAGGAGATATGATTGATGTTTACAAGTACATGTACCTCCATGGCTTATACACCACTCAGACAAACCTACTACATTTATGCAAGGAAAACAGAACACGAGGCCATACTCTGAAACTAGAGAAGACATATTCACATCTCGACATCAGGAAATTCTTTTTCTCGAATAGAGTAGTGGACACATGGAATAGCCTATCTGAAGAAGTGGTTAATGCCCCATCTGTAAATGCCTTCAAAAACAAACTCGATAACTATTGGAAGAATTCACCTTCAGTATATGACTTTGAAAGTAAATAGAAGAATGCAGAACTATTCCACCCTCCACACACACACCTCGACACGAAACCACAACAAACAGAAGTATTGATGCAAAGGAATTCAATCGATCGATGAACAGGCTCTGTCCTACCAACATCGATGGATTAAAGTAAAGTAAGTAAGTAAGTAAGTAAAGATTATAACGGAAAAACTGTGCACGAGCTACGAGTTCGTAATGAAAAGGGACCATTAAACGGATTGAAGTAGTCAAGTTGGTAAGTGGAACCGAAGTAGTTAAGCATGTAGATAATTTAGGGATACCGTATAAATACATCGGAATCCATGAAGAAAATCTTGCAGCCGGGTTGCGTCTCTTGTAGTCTACGCCGAAGGCAAAATGATTATAACGGAAAAACTGTGCACAAGCTACGAGTTCGTAATGAAAAGGGACCATTAAACGGATTGAAGTAGTCAAGTTGGTAAGTGGAACCGAAGTAGTTAAGCATGTAGATAATTTAGGGATAATGAATAGGGTAGAGTGCCCAGTATTCGGTCACTTAAGGGGAAATCACTAATATTTTGAATTCTTACCTCTTTTATTTGGCAATCTACCCATCAAAAGAAAAGAAATTTATTCCTCTAACAGGATTTTATAGTCACTTAAAATATAGAATAATGATAAGCAAAATACTTCCGAAAGAAGACGGAGCATTTTTCTGCCCAGAATTCGGTCACGCGATTTGTGCGTGGTATCTCCGTTGCCAAAGAGCGAAGCGTATTTGCGCACTATTTTCACACAATTGCGCGATAAAGCACTGAATTTCAATGCGTTGATAGCCTATAATCTAGGCGGAGTGCCGAGCTTTTTTCTTTGCTGCTATCTAGACTAACCCTAAGCAGAACGTCTGATACGGCGAGACTACGAACCGTGAGTCGCGAAGCGGCTCACCGCCTATACTGTAATCACTGGTCTAGCTTTAGTCATTGTTTTTTTTATTATCGACCATGAATCCGTGGCAGTTTTTCGTACGAAAAAACCTCATGAATACGAAATGAACTCAACCAATCAGAAACACGTATGGAGAAGAGTCTATGCATATGCATATTATAAATCACGTGACATTACGTCATTTTCTTCATCCGAGATGGCGGGTAGTTCATGCGACGACGATCTTCTGCGAGAAAGTTTATCATATGCGGCCAACAAACTAGGCATTCCTAATGGAAAATTCAGAGAACTGCAGGAATCCGCTATTCGTAGCGTTATTGAAGCCGGCAGGTATATTTTTGTTACATTACCTACTGGTTTCGGAAAGAGTGCAATATACCGTGCAATATACCAAGCAATCCCCTTGAATCCCTCGAACGTAACATAGGTGTACCTTATTTGGTAGGGCTGTTGAATGATTCATAGATCTGCCATTTTGAATATAGACCCTATATGAATATTGATTAGCTAGACCAGTAATTATAGGCGGTGAGCCGCTTCGCGACTCACGGTTCGTAGTCTCGCCGTATCAGACGTTCTGCTTAGGGTTAGTCTAGCAGCAAAGAAAAAAGCTCGGCACTCCGCCTAGATTATAGGCTAATGCGCGCGTTGACCGAATACTGGCCGAGCGATACCGCATGGCAAGGGTATCGTTTAACTTTAAATACCTCTCGCACATCGGCAAATGCGTCATTTGCAAATTCACTGCGATGGAGTGAACACGGAAGTGATTCTCTTCACACACATACTAAATTCATTGCGACAGCACACGCAGTTGTTTCGCAATAGACTTCTACATATGGCTATGCATGTTAGCGCATGTGCTAAGACTAAGAGAACGCAGAAGTGCAGAAAGTCTTGCGACACTGACCAATTTTGAGCTAAGTTGGAGATCTTTCCGGGGCCCTAAATCTGATTTAATTTTGAGAGTTAAGAAAAGTTGTTCAGCTGCTTGATTTGTGCAAGTTTTGTGGCTCGCAAATTATTTTTAAAATTGTTACAGCTGTCGAAACGGCTGTCTGACCGAATACATGCACCGTCTGTCTGCAGATCTCTCTCTGTCTCTGTTCAATTTATCCCTTTTTAACAAAATTGATCATTGCAGTGATACCATCTAGCCATAGTCAGGGCTATTTGTACGAACCACACACTCAGACAGTCTCATGACTCAACTCTCGATCTCAGCTCAGCTCAGCTCGAGTGATGAGGCGAGCGGAGACACTATCCACGTCCACGATCACGCCCGGCCAACCCAACCCCAGCCGCGCCCGTACGCAATGCGTGCCAAAGGCAAAGTCAGAGTGTCCGACAGCTCGACAGGCGATATAGTCTACTCCCGGAAAGGCAAGAGCAATGTCAACAGAGACGTGGTTTATTTCCTGTATTTCACAGAGATTTAGAACATAAATATTCAACAATTATAAAAGGTGATTTTACATACCATAATATCTAATAGCTGAAATGTTGTTTGGCTTTTCGTCAGGCAGCTGGACTTTACACGCACAGTTCTAAGCCATAGTTTCATAATATCATATCTTCGCGCGGTAATTCTGTTGCCGATTTAAGGGTTGGCATTTATCAAATGATTTCATTTACAATTCACATTAATTATAGCCAACATAATAATATTATTTACCTCTTTATAAACTTGATCATTAAACAAAGAAGTATAAAATTATTTAATCAATGAGTATTAATTTTTTAAAATGATAACAAAACTCACAAAGTACCACCAATTATTTCAGATCTTTAAAACATCAAATTACATCTGCAAATTGTTTTCTAAATAATATGCGCAACAAATTAGCTAGTCTGGAATCACCCACCATAATCTTGTTGGATCGGACGAAAGATTAAAAAGAAAAAGAAGAACAAGAACAATAAGAGGGAGAAGAAGAAGAATAACGAAGGAGGAAAAGAAGAAGAAGAAGAAGAACCGTGGAAGAAGAAAAAAGGGAAGGACATCAGGCCTAATTGACGCAGCACTTTCCTTAATTAGAAGAAGAAACAAAAGAAGGACTTTAAAAAAATATAGTGTTAATCGGCCAATAATATATCTTGCATTGAATTCTCACATCAAATTTCAAAGTGAGAGCACTTAGCATGTAGCACTAATAGGCCATTAACTGTTTCCTACCAATTTTTTCCGTATATCAGACTGAGCATCCTATCCCCCTTATTTGATGGTTCTTTTCGAAAATGTCTACCAGTGACCCCCCCCCCCCCCCCCCCCACTTCAGTGGCGGATCCAGGGGGGGGGGCGAAACGGCCGCGGCCCCCCCTATTGGCGGCGCAAAAAAAAAAGAAAAAAAGAGGAAGAAAAGAAGAGAAAAACTGAAAGGAAAGGAGAAGAGAAGAAAAAAAGGAGAAGAGAAAAGAAAGGAGAAGAGAAAAGAAAGGAGAAGAGAAAAGAAAAGAGAAGAGAAAAAAAGAAGAGAAAAGAAACAGAGAGAGAGAGAGAAAAAAAAAGGAGAAATGATAACGAAGAAAGTCCCCCCCCCCCCCCCCCCCAATTTGTGTTTCCAAAATCTCCAAAAAAGGGTTACTTTTCACGCAACAAAGTCCGGCCCGTACTGACTTTACACACCAGAGATAGAGGGGTGCTTTCAAAGAGAGGGAACATAATTGCGCGTACCCTAGATAACACTGAGTGAGTGGGGGGGGGGGGGAGGGGTGGGGGGTGGGAGGAAATGGCGCTTAGTGACAGTAACAACGAATAAGGGAAAAACTGTAATCGGGAGATTTGGGGTCATTTTTGTAGGCTTAGCAAACGTCATTGAATAGAGGGGGCCGGGCCGGCCGCATAAAATCTCGAGCCGCGGATTCAAAGTTAAACGTTAAAAACAGCCCCTGCGCTACAAAGGTCACCACTCTTTAGTGAGAAATTTAAAAAGGGCACACTATTTTGGATGTCTTTTAAATAGAAGCTATATACTCAACAGTCAAATTTTAAATTAGCGGTAGGGCCGCTTCACAACTCTTATTTTGCCCTTCATTTGGATTCAGCTCATACCAACTCGCTTGTGCTTGTATTTGAACTTATGTTGGTAAAACCATGGATTTATAAATGGTTGGTGTAATAAATCTTTCATTTCTACTAGTCTAATTGTGTGCTATCACAATCATGATTGTTTCATTGTCCCTGTAAAGCAGGCGCGTAGCCAGGGGCGGTAGGGGCAGTGAGAGGACATAAGACGAAAAAGGAGCAGACAAGGAAATATTTTTGAAATTCTGACAAGTCGAGAACGGTACAACGAATCGTCTTCTTTCTCTAATAATTTAATGAAATGTCAAAGCTTCCGCGCTACGCGCGGGAGGGGGAGGGGAACTGAATTCAGACAAGGAATAAGAGTCGAGAATGGTACAACAAATCTTCTTCTTTCCCTAATAATTAATGAAAGGTCAAAGCTTCCGCGCTTCGCGCGAGAGGGGGGGATGACGAACTAAATTCAAACAAGGATTTAGAGTCGAGAATGGAACAACGAATCTTCTAATTCTTTCTCTAATAATTTCATTAAACTATGAAAGGTCAAAGTTTCCGCGCTTCGCGCGGGAGGGGGAGGGGAACTGAATTCAGACAAGGAATAAGAGTCGAGAATGGTACAACAAATCTTCTTCTTTCCCTAATAAGTAATGAAAGGTCAAAGCTTCCGCGCTTCGCGCGAGAGGGGGGGGGGGATGACGAACTAAATTCAAACAAGGATTTAGAGTCGAGAATGGAACAACGAATCTTCTAATTCTTTCTCTAATAATTTTATTAAACTATGAAAGGTCAAAGTTTCCGCGCTTCGCGCGAGAGGGGGTGGGGACAAAATAAATTCAAACAATGATTTAGATCGAGTCGAGAATGGTTCAACGAATCCTCTCCTCTAATAATTTCATGAAACATCACAGCTTCTGCGCTTCGCGCGTAATGGGGGGGGGGGGGGGGACAGCGAGCTGCCCGAATATGAATTTTTGATATCTTTTCTCGTTTATTTTCGTGATAAATAACACTTTCGTAATATACATGTACATATTATGCTCAAATTTTTGCTCGATCGCTTCGCTCACTAGCCGAATTATGAAACCTGAAAATTACTTTTTCGGGCAAGAGGTTATAGCCCCCCCCCCCCGATTGTAATGACAAAAATTGTATGGTGCTTCTAATATGACCTTGTAAGTATTGATATGTTGAGTTTTAAAAAAAGGTCTGCGCAATTTTCAAATTTCCGGCCCCCCCCCCCCCTATTGGAAAATCCTGGATCCGCGCCTGCACTCAGAGGTCGGAATGACCGCATGCGTGTTGCCAAATGTCCGGTAAAGGAGTACTTTTAGTGCGACAAAGTCCGGCCCGAGAATTGTAAAAAAAGGTGTATTTGACTTTTCACCCGGAGATTTCTTTAAAAAAGGGGTGTTTTTTTTCCTTTTTTTCTCATCTCTTTGGACTACTGAGAAATTATTCCGGATTGAGGGGGTACATTGAGCATTTTTCCTGATTTAGGGGGGTCTCCAAGGCAGGAAAAGCCCGCGAAATGCCCGCGAAAGGGGGGTTCGGAAATATTAGCAGTCCTCAGATAGGGGGTGCTTTCAAAAGGAGGGAACGAGCATATGCGTACCCTAAATAACATTGAGTGGGGGGGGGGCCGGGCCAGTGACCTACCTCCTCTAGGTTGATGCCCTTGTCGTAATGAACTTGTGCAAACGCAGTGGCGAGGAGGGCTCAGGCATATTGTATGGGGGGGGGGGGGGCTCCAGTCTTAATTTACTAGATCATCGTTTGTTAACCTTTTTTTAATAGTCAGGGCACCTTTTTAGGAGTTAAAAGGTTTCGCGTCACGCCACCCTAATCCAAGCTTAATCAAAGAGTTAGTTTTCCATCTCTCTTCTACATAGGCATATTGGTATATGGGCACATTTTCGCGTGAGGGCCGTGTGGGCCTTTGGCCCGAAGATATAATATCTGGATCTGAAATATTGCGAGCGAGCGAAAAAAAAAAAAAAAAAAAAAAAATCCCTTTAATTGTTGCAAATTTGTTTAATTAGTCATCAATATACATTAGATCAAATCTAAAATTATTATTTCCGGTCATCTCGTGGCCAGGAATCATTTATCAATTTTGCGAGAATAGTGAAGCGAACGAGGAGAAAAAAGACACTTTTTTGTTGTGTTAAAGTTTAATTTAAAAATACATAAATAAGGTTATATTCAGGCTGCCCGAATCATGACGATATTTGAGCAGCGGGGTGCTTACATAATTATCGTCATAACATCATTACGTGGATATTCATGGGACCTCGTTGCCCGAAACTCTATACCCATTCCAAATTTTGCGAGCGAGCGAAACAAGCGAGGAAAAATACACTTTACCATCTCTGAAATGTCATTTCCTCATCAAAATATCCAAAGTGGTATATATTTAGGCATCCTGTGGTTACTATATTCTTTGTTTCCATGACGTTGACGTTATTCCCCAAATATATTATTAATATTATTAAAATACTCCCGCGGCACTCCGTTAGAAAAATACTCCATTATAAAAATTTGAGGGGGCACAATTACTAGGCCAGGAGGGAATAGACCCCTTGCCCCTTTAAAAGCGGGAAAATGTTGTATGCATGGGCACACAAACATAATCCCTTTGTCTATTTTAAAATTGTAGTACTTCGTTATTTTTATGATGTTATCACAGACACATGCACAGCCCAATTGAAGTAACTTTCTCTGTATAAGTGAACATGCCTTCCTATACTTAATTCTCTCCTCATTTTTTTCCTTCTCTCTGTTCCATTTACTATTTTTGTTCTTTCCTATCAACTTTCTGTTATATGAAATGTAATTTTCATAATAATATCTATAATGTTCTCTCGGTACCTGTGTTAATTTATTATGGGCGTTCCCAACTCAAGCTATGCTTTCCGGGTTTTCGCCTCCTTCCGTATCTGAATTATCTACTGTATACTCTATGTTGAAATAATTGTTACATAATTATATCATGTATTTGAGAAGGAAATAAATGTTAATTAATACAAAAAAAATATGTCTTCTATCTTTCACTCCTAATCGTATCTCCATTTATTTTTATTTTCAGCTGTATTTTCATCAATATTTTCATCAAACGCATTTTGATCATAATAATAATAATAATAATAGCTAGTTCTTATATAGCGCTTTTTAGGACCGAAGGCTCTCATCCAATAAAAGCACTTTTCGATAACCGTTGAATGCCCCTCACTTACTTCTTTGCTGATTAACATAATATTGTAATACTTGAAGAGCGTTTTCGAGCAATCTATATCTCATTATATTATCTTATGTTCTTTTTCCTTCATCTTTCCCCTCGCTCTCACCTTTTGTTATATTTTATTTTTTAAAGTGGACCTTAAATAGTCAGTAGCGAGGAAGGGGGAGGGGGGGGGGGTGCGTTTGCACCTGACCATAATTACGGGCCTGTACTATGACTTAATTTTTGTAAGGTGCCCCCCCCCCTCCTGCCACCTGCCCTTCCGTGCTCACCCCTATCCAAGAGCCTAATTAATTAATTAATTAATCTAATTAACCACCATAATGATTGTGTCTTTTAGATTTCGGATCTGTACATTTTCTAGGGTTCATAATGCATAAGCTTTTCTCCAATGCATATCCAGGCGTAGCCCGGACCCTTTTATTTTCTTTCCAAATATATATATATATTTATATATATATATATATATATATATATATATATATATATATATATATATATATATATGTATAAATCATTAACACGCCTGTGGGGACTTTAGAGCTATATCTTAACGTATTTCTCATTCTATTATTGTTTATTCTTCTTTCATCTCATTTTGTTTATTTTACTTTCTATCGATTACTCAGTCTTTCGTTCTCGAGTCTTTTCCAAACATGTTAAACGTATCTCTTTTTTTCCTTTCTTTGAATTTCCTTGTTTCTTTCTCTCACGTTCTTGACAAACAAGATACATCTACTTCGTATATGGTACTATGTTTTTCCTTATTAATAATTAATTGTTTTAATTTCCATTCATAATAATCTTTGAATGAAGTTCATAATCATCGTAATAATAATATACACACACATTCATAAAAAATCTCTGTATAAATGATATGCAAGTTTGAAAATGACGTTGTATATTAAAGACTCTAGTCTCTTAATTTACAATTAAGTATTGCAAAAGGTATAACATTATCTTAAAAAGAACTTTGCATAAGAAGAACAAAAATTAACTGGAATGAGTTATCACAGACATCGCCTATTCAACAGCGCTTCTCAACCATAGTTCGCTTGCGCTCTCGCTTCTATATTATTAATATAGTTCAGTCGGCCTACTTTAGTAAGTTTGGTCCGGGGTGGCCCAAATCCAATATCAGACATTGTTTGTCCCGGGTGCAACAATATATAAATTCGCCACTGCATATAATTATCAGACAATTCGATCTTTATTTTCCTGTGTCATGATTCATTGCTAATATTTCTCATTGTTTTTTTGTAAGGTGAGCCTCGAAAATGTTCTAACAACCATAGTGGGCCTCGAGTTCAAAAAGGTTGAGAATTGCGGCTGGCCTAGTGCATTTAGGATATTATACACGTACATTCATTAGTATTGTAAGTGCGACTCTTTGGTATCACGAGAGGAATATTTACAAACACATTTGACATTAACCCGTTGACTTCTGAATTATCTAATTGCCATAGACGTAACACAGGGACCACCAGGTTCCAGTAAGCAATGGGTTAACATTGTTTCATCGAAAGCGCAGAACATTGAAACACTTAACATTTCAGACTTAGTATTTTCATAACAAGGAGCATGGTTTAAGAATGCACAAAAGATGAAAGGAAAGGAGGAAAAGGAAATAAAGCTGGGAACTTTATTTTGACCAAAAAGAAGCCATGGGGCCAAAAATGAAAATCTTTCTTGGCCCCAGCTTTTCAGTCTCTCCCCAACCCCTTTGCAGTCCTCTCTTTGCCACTGCCACGCACTATTAAAAAAACAATTGAATTTATTTACACAATATTATTAGAAGTGCTTGTGATAAACTATCAATATTGCAAATCATTGAAAACAAAACATGTCAAATAATGAGTAATTAACATTCATTGAACTTGTCTTCACTTTACAATTATGATTACCGCGCAGTACACATTAAACAAATCTAAATGAACATAATACTGGAAATAGCTGCATGGATCCTAAAGGAGGCTTTAAAGTACTACATGTACTTTTGCTTTAGCTAAGTTTCTATAAGCCATATACACTGGAATCATTCAGTTAATTACTTCCTATCAAATATCGTATAAAATATACAACTGGATTAAGAGTGGAAAATGAAGATTAATAGCTGCAGTGACACTATTCTAAAATACTCTGACATTGAGAAAACCACTGTCTATCCCTTTGAAATTCTACACAATAGATTGAATGTGGACAATGTTGAACATTTATAATATTAGATTCCTCCCAGTTTTAGTACTGACAATTGCCATTACGGTAAGTACACTTAGCATAACAATGAAACAAAACAAAAATGCAGCAGGTAATGAACTCGATATTCTATATATTGATGCATGAGTTTAATGATGTTTTTAAAGAAAAAAACTTCTTTTATCGAAACAAAAGTATTTCGTCATAATGCATGAAACAACTAGGCCCGTATTATTTTTTAATATCTTTGTCCAATGTTGGAGAATCAACGTTACGGAACCAGGGGGTATATACAGGGGGAACGAGCCTCCAGAAAAAAAATGCGACCTCATTTTTTCCTTCCTCGTTAAAAAGACATTATTCTTCATCATATAATTTGTATTCTTGTCACATGTCACATAATACTAGATCCGCCACTGAATCGTTTGTACGATTACACTATGTGACAACAACAACAACAACAACAAAACAACAACAACAAACCATGACCGCATATAGACTTTCGAGGAATCAACTCAAAGTTAAGTGCATTGCCCTATTGTAAATCCCATAGAAGTCACGTTTTGATTAACTTTGTAAGTATAACGCGTCATTGCAACGTTCGCATAATTTACAAGGTGATGGAAAGGCTATTGAAATAGCTTTAGGTTAATTTTATTCCTCGAAAGTCTTTGCGATCGTGTCAATAATATCAACAGTGAGAAAACATTAATGACATTGCGTCCCTATTTTCACGAAGTGACGGTAGTGAGGAAAATCGTAACGCAAAGTGAATGCAATTTTGTTTCACTATACCGTCACTTCGTGAAAACAGCGACGGTTGATTTAAAAAATAAAATGTGATTTGAATATCAGCATATTTTTGTTTTAAAAGCGAATCTTTTTACAATCAATTAAGCCTATTGATATGAAATGCCTTCCAATTAGGGAAACGAACACAAAGTGGCCACGTGAAGAATAGTTGCATCGACATGTTCTACAATACTTTATTCTCAATGGAGACAATAAGGCGTTAAAAAAAAGATGTTGTATTGTCCTTTGCGACCGACCCCAAAATCCGTTTTTTTACACATAAAAAAATGTTTAATGCATATCAAAATATGTATCAAAGCATTCAAAACTGAGAAATATCAGCCCAAAGAGGGAGGGCAAAAAAGAGATTTCCGACCGACCCACCGATGTTTTGGCACATTAAGGGTAATGCAACATTTTTTTAAAGGCCTAAGGGAGACAATACAGAGGGTGCAATAATATATCCACTCTTTTAGGAGTGATAACATGGACCAATTTGCTCTGGTGTTAAATCTACTCTAGATCCATTATTTCCATTACTGACTTACATTTTGCAATCAATTATTAATGGCCAATCAAGATCATCGTTGCATGCACATATTGATGATAAGGTTGACTATTAACCAATCAGAACCGTTATTTAAATTTTTCAATTGATTGTAAACCTTTATGTTACGTGGCTCTGCTTTAATATTTTTAGTTATAAAAAATAAGTGCATTTTATTGGTGGGATAACCTGTCAGGGGTGGGTTTTAAAAATAAATTTCACTCCTTCCCCCTCCTTCAAAATACGCCAGTGATTATGACTCCTCTTCAAAGAGTGGACTTCTATAAATCTTGAAAATCTAAAAAGGGTACAGAACGTCCCTTTAGAGCCAAAAGGGCGTTAAGTCGCCGTAGAGGGCCATGAGTTAACGCCCTTCTGCTCGTGAAATCAATCATGATATTGAAGGAAAGCTATCGTATCAAATTTTGTCGTAGTCTTGCCCAGATGAGGTCTCCATCAATTGAGTTTTACCGCAGCAGCTGAAGAGGAAGAAAAATCCCTCCTGTTATAAACACAAAAAAGAAATAAAATTGCATGTTATTAAATGAAATCGAAATACGTACTAGTTTTTGTTAGGCCCTGCCTGATTGTATAATTTAAACGTCCTGCACCATAGTAAATGTTATTCATTATTATTATGTTTAACTGTCCAATGCTAACGATGGAGAACAGTCTGTAATATCATATCTCATTATTATTGTACCTTATTGCAGGCGTATATGGGGATTCGAAGTAATCATGCTTTTGCTCATGCGTGTAACGGAGATGAAAAATAACAATATAAGTAGGTTTCCAGACCTGTACCATGAGTGAATAACAATATAAATATATTTCCAGTCCTTTACCATGAGTGAAAAATCTCTATAGAAAACCGTTGCAGCAGGTGCGTGGTAATCATTTTCAAAACGCACACACACACACGCGCGTACGCACATATCTTTTTTTTTAAAAGTAATTTTGTTTATTCCTCCAAATGTAATACAAACAAAAACAACATACAATTGAATAAAATGAATAAACGTTTTCAATATCGATTGCTTATACATAAACACAATTAAATAAAAACTCATTTGCAGTATTATAACTGAGCATCAAAGTAAGCTTATCTGCCGTAGTTTACAGGAGGGATTAGACTGCCCCGCAAGGTCACTGGACAGGTGGTTATCTCATCAACTCAGCTCTCAGTTAACATAGGAAAAAGAGGATCATGGGGGACCAATTAGATTAGGCATTGTATGTTATCTAGAGGGCGCAAGTAGCTACAAGTAGTGCAGTGGGCCTTTAAAGTACATAAGCAGAATTTATAAGTCAATTCTACATGTTATTCACTAACTTTATATACAATTTTTAAAAACAAATCTGGAGGTTATTTTACTGGTACAAGAAACACAAAACAAAGTCCTGCCCACTCCCTCACACAACCCCCCCCCCAAACACACACACACACCACACTACTCACTCAGTGGATGTCTGCTAACATTCTCAACTCGAGAACTATACTAAGTAAGTTAACCGCACACGCACGCACACACAGAACACACACGCGCACGCGCGCGAACAAAATTAATTACCAGGATAAGAGTGGGTAGATCAAGCCAGAAGTGTACGTGAGGAATAATTTCCAACCCCTTTGCCCCACTGCAGCAGCACATATAGAAAGAACCAATCAGGAAGTACCCACATACGCAGCTTACAAATCTGGAAGAAAAAAATAGACATAACACCAAATTTATTTCTTTGATTATTTCATTATCTCATTATGATTTCATTTTCAATTCATTAATTTATTTCTCTGATTTCGACACTGATTGCTTTTTACTCACAAAAAACTTAAAGGCACCCTGTCCTACTTGTAGCTACTTGCTCCCTTTATATAGAAAACTTCGCTAATCGGTGCCTGTTGGTCCCCCACGATCCTCTTTTTCTTATGTTAAATGAGAGCTGAGTTAATGAGATAGCCACCTATCACAGTGACCTCGCTGGCTCGCTGGGTGGTCTAATCCCTTCTAGCTGAAGTAGTTAAGCCTGCCTTTAAGTTATAGGGCTCAGTCATAGTTTACAAGAACAAAAACTAATATGAATTGATACATAATAGTGAGAATGATTACATAATGATTATACATAACTATTGAATTTATTTGGTTTTGGCTTGTTTTGCTTCTTTAAGCCCCACTGCACTACTTATAGCTTCTTGCGCCCTTTATACAGGCAACAATGCCTAAGCGGTACCCGTTGATCCCCGATGATGCCCTTTTTCTAATGTTAATTGAGAGCTGATTATTTGAATGAGATAACCACCTGCCAGTGATATTGCAGGGAGGTCTTATCCCTCCATGCCAAACTAGTGCAGAGGGGCGTTAAACTAAGCATACTTACATAATGCAGATCACTCCTCCAGCTGTCAAACCGTGCGTCTCTGGGTGCGGTCTTACTGTTGCCGGGGTAAAGGGGGGCGGTCCGATTGTTACTTTGGTAACGGGGGGCGGTCCGATTGTTACGTGGGTAACGGTGTGCGGCCCGATTGTTGCTTGGGTAACTGGTGAGGCCTGGGTTATGATTGGCTGAGGTGTGACGGTGGGCGGGACAGAGGTCTTTGGAGTTACAATCGTAGAAGCACATGTCAAGAGCAGGATGAAGCGCTAGCGGTCAATGAAAAAAAAAAGAGAAGAAAAAAAAGGAAAAGGCAATTAGAAATGACATTAAAGGCCATCTGTACTAGTTTGGCTAGGCAGGCGCGTAGCCAGGGGGGCGGTGGGGGCGGTCGCCCCCCAAAAACGCCGGCCAAAAAAAAAAGAAAAAGAGAGAAAAAAAGAAAAAAGGAAGAGGACGTAGGAAGAAAAAGGATTAAGAGTCGAGAACGGTACAACGAATCGTCTTCTTTCTCCAATAATTTAATGAAACGTCTAAGCTTCCGCGCTTCGCGCGGGAGGGGAGGGAGGGGGGGGGGGGGGGGGAGGGGGAACTGAATTCAGATAAGGATTAAGAGTCGAGAACGGTACAACAAATCGTCTTCTTAATTTATGAAACGTCAAAGCTTTCGCGGGAGGGGAGGAGGGGGGGGGGGGGGGGAACTGAATTCAGACATGGATTAAGCTCGTTCGAGAATGGTACAACGAATCTTCTTCTTTCTTTAATAATCTAATAAAACTTCAGAGCTTCCGCGGAGGAAGGGGAACTTGATACATAAAAGGATTAAGAGTCGAGGACGGTACAGCGAATCGTCTTCTTTCTCTAATAAAACGTCAATAGAAACTGAATTTAGTTTGAAATCCTGGCTACGCGCTTGTGGCTAGGAGGGATTAGACCACCCATGGTGGTCACTGACAGGTGGCTATCTCATCAATCCAGCTCTCAATTAACATAAGAAAAAGAGGATCATGGGGGACCAATGGTCACCGATTAGGCATTGTTTTCTATATAGGAGCAAGAAGTTACGAGTAGTACAGTGGGGCTTTAAGTTTCTTGAGCGGACTTAATCGTGAAGCGAAATATTTGTTCCATATTGCGACGGACTAGAAAGGAAGGTATATCTGCCCGGAAATAGTAGATGCTGCAGGATCAATTCATAAAATTATGTATGTATGTATGTATATGTATAATATACTCCTTCATAGCATTATTTTCTCTCCATATTCATAGTGGATTATATTCGTATTTTGTTTGTTTGTTTATTTATTTAAATACGGTGATTAAAAACATGCTTTCAGCTTAGCATCGCTGTTTTGTCAGCATGTCCGTACATGGTACATTAAAACACATGAATAAACAGATAAAATACAAAATTAAGCAATAACAATACATAACATTAAATAAATGAAATCTAATGAAAACAAATACATATAAAAAAAAGAGAAATATAATTCAAGTTAACGAGAAAAAAAAAGTATATGTATAAAAGTATCAACATAGTTAACGCCATTCTTCCTCAAAAAAGACTTTAATAAAGGCGAAATTAGACCTCACCTATAATTTTCCTTTGTTAAACCCGATTTCGAATGAAAATTGATAAACCTAACGTCGGGTTGAATATGTTTTATATCTTGAAACTTTTGAGAGGCTTACATGAATGACTTGATTCGGAGTTGATGACTGAGCGCCCAGTACGACGATCTGGACTTCCTCTCCTCCGTTGCAAGCAGATTGGAACCGACTGATGTACCTGGGGGTGTTTCACAAAGATTCGAAGTCAAAGTTAAAGCCCCACTGTCCTACCTGTAGCTACTTGCTCCCTATATATAGAAAAATTCCCCAATCGGTGCCTGTTGGTCCCCCATGATCCTCTTTTTCTTATGTTAGTTGAGAGCTGAGTTAATGAGATAGCCATCACCTGTCAGTGACCTCGCTGTGTGGTCTAATCCCTTCTGGCCCAGTAGTATTGACGGTCTTTAAATATTATGGAGAGCCATGTGTTGCCTTAATTTGAAATATATTCCAAAGCAGAAATTCAAATATTTAAGACTGTTCATAAATTCCACATCAAGAACATGAAATCTCCCATGATAATAGAAAATATGAATGATTTGAATCAACATTATTATGCCTTTTAAAATAACTTTTACAAAAAAATTTCAAGGATGCTAATGGCTTTCCATTATTGTTAAGTCCAAACTAGAGATAAGTTCAACTTAGGATCTTTGTGAAACACCCTCCTGGTAGAATGAGATACATACAATAATATTAATAAAGGTTCACTTCTCAGTCAGGGATGGCGTAGTTACCTGATGGGGGCACATTATTTTAGAATTAGCATAATTATAGAGAGAGGAAATGTGACTGCTGTTTGGAATTTCACAATGCATACTGTTTCGACTAAACAAAATAATGTCATTCACAACTCGTCTTGTTTCTTGAAAAATCTACAATTATTCATAGCTCATGAAACAGGAAGAAGCCCCTCCCCTCCTTATTACCCCAAATGCCCGCCAAGAATTAAAATTTTATATTTTCATTTACGGTTCCAGAAGAATAATTTGGTACAGGGGGCTGGGGGCTTGGTGGTTCGTGCATTCACTTTCTCTCCCTTAAATTAATTTATAATAAAGATTTTTTTTTTTTGGGGGGGGGGGGGTAGGTGAAGAAATGTTGACCCCCTCCCCTTTAGAATCGCTAATGTTCCTTTGCCTCAAGTGGGGCTTCGACTAAAAAAAACACATTAAAAAATGACTTACACCAAATCCGGGTCGCTAGGATCTGTATGGTTGTACTCGAGCACCACACCATTGTCAGCTTCGCTGTAGTACATACGGCCAGAACTGGTAGCGGCAACATTTAGAGGGATGCCCATGTTACTTATACGGCAGACCTTTGTAAAATAAGGAAGAGGGAGAGAGAGAGAGAGAGACATAGGGAGAGAGAGAGAGACAGAGGGAGAGAGAGAGAGAGAGGAGAGAGAAGAGAGAGAGAGAGAGAGCGAGATAGAGAGAGAGAGAGAGAGAGAGAGGGGGTGGGACTGATAACGTTTTTTTTATTTTTATTGAACTATAGTAAACAATAAGAACAATGTATGGGTAATTGTAGTCAACAAAGAAACACTTATAACAATAATAATAAATCAATGACAATTATATTGATGATGATGATGATGATAATAATAATAGTAACAATTATAATAATGATAATACCAATGATAATAATTACGTCAATAATAATCGCGATAAATAATGATAATAATAATGACGTTGATAATAACAATGATAATAATTATAGTATTTAAAACAAAAATCGCTGTCCTATACACTTACGGCCACACCTGCGCACTCAGTCCCCAATGTAAATCCATAGCAAGGGTTTATGGTATATAAATTTGGGTCCTGATTTACATCTAGAGCAGTCACGTTGTTCCATCTGAAACAAGAAGGAAAGGGCAGTGATGTCGAAAGTATGACTTAAAATACTACCATATTACGTTCAAAAGGTAACCCAAACTCGTTATATCTTGAATTTAACCGCGCGGTAGGTGTAATTTCGGTCTAATAGAACAAAAGGCTTTTATGTCTCGACTTGCCCGCCTCTTTCTTTCTTTCTCCCTCTCTCTCTCTCTCTCTCTCTCTCTCTCTCTTTCTCTCTCTTTCTCTCTCTCTCTCTCTCTCTCTCTCTCTCTTACACACTAAATGCATGCATATAACAGAAGAAAAATAGTACATTTTGTATCAGAATTCAAAAATAAAACGTACTGTATTTATCTTGTTTAAAAAAACGATACACAGACAATAAGACATTCCTTTTTTGGTTTCGTATAGTATAGCTTTCATATTTCCAGTGTTATGTTTATGTTCTCAACATTATTGTATAATATACTTGTCCTGATGAGAATAAATCGAAATCGCTGAAGTATGAAGTTTAACCCTTGCCTCTTGTGTATGGTATCTAACGTTGTAAATTTATATATTTTGTTCTATATATATATTGTATATATATAATCAAAATACTGTTTAGAAATTAGAATTTCGGAAACATATAGACTTATATTTTTTTGTTTTAAGTGTTTATATTTTGTGTTACGTTTCCGTTCTCAAAGTTTTATAATGTTAAGCGAAATTGTGATTATTATGCGATAAACACATTTGACGTTATCATTATTATTATAATTATATTTCACTTTATTTTACCTTGCTGTTCCATCAGTGTTCCCCGCACTAGTCAAATCTAGTGTCTGACCGTCGTCGTACTCCCAGACACAGTTCGATAACTGTCTCCCATGCTGCTGAACGCTACTCGTCACGAGCACACTCATTAAGATCGCAATGGGAACGTACCGCATCACGCCCATTCGTGCTGGTACGTAGCGAGAGAGAGAGAGAAAGAGAGAGAGAGAGAGAGAGGGAGAGATACCAGGCAACTACAAAAATAATATGTAGGCTCAATCAGACAGCGATAGGGTCCACAATCTTCCCCCAGAGTCTAGAAAAATGCAGAGAAAAATAGGCGTTTCCGAAAATATAGTTGGTTTGGTGAAGTTGCGTCCGAGTTAGAAGCACTTTAAGGCAGGCACGGTAATGTATTTCAAGAAAACGTATTGGAGTATAATTATTCTTCCTCTACAACTTGGTGGAAACCACTAACATAATCTGCGTGATTATTTAGCTCAGACTCAACACAGCTGCACAACAATAGTTATAAAAGTCTCCACAAGTTTTCAAGTCACTGTTATTTTCCAAGACGCGAAGACTGACTTCGTTCTATAGCTTCAATCATTATAAACATAATAACAGGCCCTATATACTGAAGCTGTCCTGTACAGACCAATATGCATGTAGAAAGCTATGTGTAAATAGACCGTCATGTGCCTATAGTCCATCCCGATAAACCCTCCGCACTGTGTACAGGCGGGGTACAGACCTTTGTATTTGATCAGTTCAAAGGTTTTTTTTTTTGTTATCGGGTACTCATGTGATTCAATAAGTCAATTAACCACAATCATGACCCCAATCGCTCCGGAAGGATATTCTACTGCTTTTTTTTGTAGATAGGCAGAATATAATTACATTGACTGAGATACCTATGAAAAGTTGCAGAATTAAAAAAAAGGTGATCGGATTAACAACAACTACACGCCGGCAAAATATTGTTATCCCTTGGGTGTACAAAGTACCATAATACAGACACGATCTGTCCTCTATTCTCCTTAAGCCCCCCCCCCCCCATCCCGCCCTTTCGAGTTGGTAGAGAGGGAGGGAGAGAGAGAGAGAAGGAGGGCATGAGAGACAGAGAGAGAAATACCAGGCAACGAAATCAATCAGTCAGCGCTATATATAGGGTACACACAATTATGAAATATAATAAAACCACAAACTAAATGCCTCGTATTTGTCATTGTTTACTATACTAAGCATTAAGCAATGAATCTCAGAAATCAATACGAATCGATGAATATTGACGATTTTACTACTATAGGCATAATTATCTTGATTATAAACTGTTTATTTGTCAGGTTGTAATTTTTGTGTGTGGTTTGTTTGCTTGTTTTTTCGTTGTTGCTGTTTTCGCAATTATTATTTTTTTATTATTATCAACTAACCATGATTGTCAGAGATTCCACAAGTCAACTGCACAGTCGCTCCTTGAATGGGGCTAAAATTATAATATATTGACAAAATCATATAAGTAGTTATTGACAGTTTTAGAATTAGTGGCGGTGCCATTAAGTATTTTTGAAGAGATCGGATGCCTCAAACATGTCGAAACTCTCTGACAAGCGAAAAAGAAATGGAGAAGAAGAGGAAGAACTAGAGGAGGAAGAAGAAGCCATGAAGAAGAAAAGAAAAAAAAGGAGAAGCAGAAGAAGGAGAAGAAAAAACGGAATAAAAGAAATAGAAGATGAAGATGAAAGACGAGAAAAGGAGGAAAAAGAAGAAGAAAAGGAGAAGAAGTAGGAGAAAAAGGAAAATGAAAAAAAAAGAAACAAAGATGAAGATTAAAGACGAGAAAAGGAGAAGAAGAAGAAGAAAAATTGAAGAACGGAGCGAATTTGGAGTTTCGCCAGGGCAAAAGCTTCGTAAAAGATTGGAAGGAAGTTCGCAAACAGTTTTCATTGTCGCAAATAGTTTTTCTTGTCGCAAATTAAAATGTTCAAAAGTAGGAAGCATTTGCAAATTTAGAACCACATTAGGCGCATTTTCAGGCACTTCCTGGAGTTAAATGACGTTTAAATTGCTTTCTCCTACCCCCTCCAAGAGTAGGGATCTTTTGCAATTTGATAACCACATTTGGCGCAATAATGTCCACTGGGAAAAACGAGGCCTTCTGATTGGTTAGAAGTTAGAGAAAAGTGATCTGTCAGTTTTCAGTTTTCTCCCTCCCGCGCAAAGCGTGGAAGCTTTGACACTTCATTAAATTATTAGAGTAAGAATTCGTCCTTTGTACCGTTCCCGAATCTTAATTCTTGTGTCGCCCCTCCCGCGCAAAGTGCAGAAGTTATGACGTTTCATTTAATTATTAGGGAAAGAAGACGATTCGTTGTACCGTTCTCGATTCTTAATCCTTTTCTGAATTCAGTTTCCCCCCTTCCGCTCGAAGCGCGGAAGCTTTGACGTTTCATTAAATTATTACTCTTAATCCTTGTCTGAATTCATTTTCGCCCATCGCTGAAGGTTTCACGCTTCATTAAATTATTAGAGAAAGAAGACGATTCGTTGTATCGTGTCCTTGTGTGAATTCAGTTTCCCCTCTCCCGCGCGAAGCTTTGACGTTTCAATAAAATATTACTCTTAATCCTTGTGTGAATTCATTTTCGCTCATTTTTTTTTAAACATTTCATTAAATTATTAGAGAAAGAAGACGATTCGTTGTATCGTGTCCTTGTCTGAATTTAGTTTCCCCTCTCCCGCGCGAGCGGCGCAGAACCTTTGACGTTTCATTGAATTATTACTCTAGTCTTAAAGGCACACTGCCATACTTGTAGCTACTTGCTCCCTCTATATAGAAAACTTCCCCAATCGGTGCCTGTTGGTCCCCCATGATCCTCTTTTTCTTATGTTAAATGAGAGCAGAGTTAATGAGATAGCCACCTGTCACAGTGACCTCGACGGCACGCTGTGTGGTCTAATCCCTTCTTGCCCAGTAGTGGTGACGGTCTTTAATCCTTGTTTGAATTGTTTTCCTCCTCCCGCGCTAAGCGCGGAAGACTAGTTTTGACGTTTCATTAAATTATTAGAGAAAGAAGACGATTCGTTGTACTGTTTTCGACTCTTAATCCTTGTCCGAATTCAGTTCTCCCCCTCCTCCAGCGCGAAGCGCGGAAGCTTTGACGTTTCATTAATTTTTTAGAGAAAGACGACGAATCATTGTACCGACTCTTAATCATTTTCTGAATTTTCTAAAATGGTTTTTTGTCCGATAAAAAAGTCACAATTTGTGGGGGAAAAAAATTTGCCGGCCGACCGACATAATACATCTCACCGACTTCAAACTTCTGCATTGATATAGTACACGAGGGTTGAGCAAGAATACCGACACAGCTGACCCGACACAGCAACATAATTATATATGCGTATCTTTCTTGCTCCCTCGACGTCGGGTGACTCAACCCAACACCCCCCTCTCTCTCGTAATCTCACCCCTCTTCTCTCAGGCTCTCACCCCTCTCTCTCCTCTCTTTCATCCCCCGTTTTTTGTTTCCTATTTCTTTCCTTTTTCCTTTTCTCCTTTTCTGTCTTTTCTTTCTTTTCTTTCTTTTCTTTCTTTTCTTTCTTTTCCTTTCTTTTCCTTTCCCTCTCCTTCAATTTTTTCTGTTTTACTTTATCTTTCTTCCCTTATCTTTCCTTTCTTTTCCTTTTTTAAAATACTTTTTTCCCTTTCCCTCTCATTTTCCCCGGTTTTCTCATTTGCCTGACAGCAGCGCAATTTTACCCCTGGTTATTATCCCATTATTCTTTTATAAGAAATGCAATTCCTTATGCTCTCGCACATCTCTTCTATCGTTCTTTCATTTTTTTCCTTTCTCTTTTAACTCACAAAAATTCTCTCTTTCCCCCTTTTTGATCTATTTTTTTGTTCTTCTTGTGCTTTTATTTGGAGGGGAGGGGGGGGGGGCTACACGCTTGGCAACAGAGACTCCATAATGCACACTGCAAAATTGCGTCCCCCGCCCCTTTCCCTGTAACAAAAAAAACAAACGCCTTTTTATATTATCACCCCCTTTCTTTCTTTGCCCTTCTCATTATCCTCCTTTTCCCCCTTTACTCTCCTCCGTCTTTCCCCTTTTCTTTTTATTCCGCCTTTCCTCTCCTCTCTCTTCCCCTTTCTTCTTTTCCTCCTCCTTTTTCTCTTCTCCCCTTTTCTCTCCTCCCTCTTTTCTTCTTCTTTCTCTCTTCCCTTTTCTTTTCCCCCTCCTTTTTCTCCCCCTCCTTTTTCTCCCCCTCCCTTTTTTCCCCCTCCTTTTTCTGCCGTTCTGCCTACCCCCCTTCCCCCTTTTTTTTACCAGAGGAGGGAGGCATGTGCTCCCTGTGCCCCCTGAATCCGCCACTGTTTATAGTCAAACTGTAAGATGTAAAAGGCAAAGATTTGGGTAAAAAAAGAAGATGGCTTTGCGCGAGGCAGGCGAATCAAAGAAACTACTATACCGCCCTCTAAAGTCTAAAAGCAGCATAAACAGCCATTTTGGATCAGGAAGTACTGACAAAACCCGAGCCTCTTGTATGATTTCCGGGTGTGATATATTACCATTAACCTAGCAGCCGAGAAGTTATCCTTGTCAGAAATGAGTTGTATATGGAGACTAGAGTGATATTCGGGACTGAAACAAAGCACTAAGGTATACAATTAATTTTACTTTATGGTTGTAGACGGGGACATTTTAAGGTAATCGCAGGAAATTCTCCGCCGACTACACAGCGCGAGGCATGCAAGGTAGACCAAGTCTGCCGCCGCAAGCTTTCGTGTGGTTGCTTGCCAAACTGTGCGTTGCTGTAGCCTAGTGAATATAATGAATGCCCATTGCATTGCATTTGTAGGCGTGTGTTATTCTTGTGTTTATCACTCTTGCCTAACATTTGACCTCGATCTCTCCATAGGTATATATCTTGTTTCAAGTTGTTTGCATATTACAATATACCATGATATTAAATGTATTCAGCATATCTATTGAAAGAATGAAGAGTGAAATCTAACGCCCCTTTTAAAAATTAGATTGATTGAAGCTGCCATTTAAAAAAGAGGGGGGGGGGGGGGGGCGAGGGGAAAGAAGTTTGAATTGGAAGGGTCTGAAATAATGTATGAATATTTCTGTTATCATGATCTTGGATATTGAATGGTGGGGCTAGATCTACTGACATCATGTAGCTTGTTACTTTTTGTTAACGTTTATATCTCGGTTGCGTACTCCAACCGAGATAACGGACGGACGATGATGGATTTCGCGCCGGTGGACACTTGCGATCCCTGGGGGCTAGCGAAAAAACAAGCGCATGGATCGATTCCTTATGACTGGGACTATAATCGATCGATCCGTCATTTCTAAAAAGTGGCAAATTTCGGAGCTAGGATGCAAACAACATTTAAATCGCTGAAATGACACCCCTTTGGAAATATGGAGATTAATCTGCTCTTTCATATGACGCCTCATTTATTGAGTATTACGTTCAGGATCACAAGAAATAAAGGTTTGAATCTCGATTTGGTCATAAAAACATTGACCAATTTTGCATTATCGGGCAAAGCAGCGCAATGCACATAGACTGCATAGGGATGCTGCATGTACAGTAATCTCTATGGGAAGGATTTTAGGACACAACATCGGATGCGCAATCAGACACCCTACTACAGTGTATTAGATCTAATATTATTAGATCGTAAAATCAATTATTTTTTTTAGTCAGAAAAAAAAAAAATTTGCAGTCAAATTGCCAAAAAGGAAACTGAAACCAGAAATGTAAACCAACATCGCAACAAAAAATGACAATATCATCATATGGATATAGTGGAAAATGCAGAGATCTGCAGTCAAGTTTCCAGGTCTATCTGTTATGTGCTCTGTGCACATTGCTTCAATCAAATTTAGTCTTCCCAGGGGTGAGAATAATGATCACCACACCAAAAATGTGTCAACACTGGCTTTGAAAAAGTTCACAGATGTGGCAGTGACAACCTCTGTGAGTTGGTAGGAACTTCCTGTCATGACCAGGTGATGAATATTCCATGCATATCTGCATGTATTTATAAATATTTATTGGCTATTCTTTTGAAAATGTTTATATATTTGTTACAGGAATGTAAATGTGTGTGTACATTTAATATGCAAATCCAATTGCTACTTGCATGTAACAAGCGATTTTCACCACATCTGGGCACTCGACAAGCACAGGTACGATAATACACCAACGACGGTCTGTTCTTAACGAAGAAGAAGAAGAAGAAGAATAAGCTTGTCCACAGTTTTGTCCCCAGAGACTCTGGGAGATTGTTCCATAGTTTTGGTTTGGCATACTTGAAAGCACGGGACCCATATGTTTTGGTAGATCGTAACTAAGGGGCGTGAATGAATGTTTTGAAGATGAATGGAGATTACGAGTTGGTCGATGACTTGAAATACTATTGTGCAAATACCTGGGAGCATCATTGTGTTTACATAATTTATATACAATTGTTAAAGAGTTTAAAAACAATTCTATCTCTTACAGGTAGCCAATGCGAATCATACAACATATGAGTAATACATGTACTACAGTATGCATGAAAAACTATGCAAAATGACTTTTACCTACATTTACAATTTTGTTAGGCAGATTTGATTTTTTTTCTAGTTTTTCGCCCAGATTTAAAGAGAAATGGAAAAGAAGGTTTCACAATACGGAAATGGTTGTCATTAGCTTTAAGAACAGGGAAGTACTGTCTTTCTTTTTGAAAACTGTTGATGTTGGCATTGGAGAGCATTATACACATTACACAAACACATTGACATGTATCCTTATTTCTTAAAGGGATTTGGTATGTCTTTGCCTCAGATTCTAAACAAAATCCTGGATTTAGCTCATGCTGCAATCAAAATTATAAACCTCTAGATCAGTCAGGGATCCAATGACTTTTACACGCCAATCGCATGTTTGATTAGCAAGATATTTATGATTGGAATTCAAAATTTCAAAAACCTTTACAACACTACATTGAGGGAAATGAGTATGGTAAAACCAGTCCCTCAAATATTTTTACTTTTTTGAAGCACTTGGAACATTTTGAAGCACAATTTTACGCCATATCACAGATATTGATAACATGTACCTGCAGGGCCATACATCTCAAATTGGTAAAACTGAAAAAACAATGCCTTTAACCCTTGAACACACTGTATCCATCTGGTTTCTATAATGTAGCGAGTCCAATGATGAAAGCGACACGTCTGTATCAAATTCTTATGGACACAAACCTCTGGAAACGGGATACGGGATACAGTAGGAAAACATGTTAAAAATTCTTTGCTCTCGAATCATTTGGAGATGACTGATGCTGGAGTTCCGTCAACAGGGCTAGTCTGGCTTCAAGATGTAAACATGATTTTTTCCCCCTCTTTCCAAAACAAGGTTTAAACTGGGTCTGGAGTACATAGACTAGATTCTCCTAACTATATATTTTTGTGTATTTCATTCTGTGTTTATCTCTTGATCCTCATTCAGGTACAGTGTATGACATAATAAACCTTGGCTTTAAAAAAAAATGTTGATGTATAATGTAATGTGTTTCACATTTCTTTATCTTATAACACAGAGCTCAATATAAAAGTGAATTTGCTGTGCACAGTTGCCATTCATTTACCGTATGCATTTTAAGGCTGTGCATAACCGTGTAATGAGGTACTCGAGTACACTCCCGGGCTTACAAGTGAATACTCGGAATATTCAGACGCCATATTTTTTTTTTTATTAAAAAAAAAAAAAAAAAAAAAAAAAAAAATTCCCGGTCACCTGGCACTGTCCAGGCCGACGCCCACCCGTGCCAGGGAGAGCGCCCGCCATCGGCATGGTATCGTGGGTAAAAATGTTTCCAGCTCAATCACTGTCAACTCACCTCTCAGATTTGGTCACCTCTGGGACCAAATGTCCGGATTTCTGTTTGGACTCGGAGGTAAAGTCATCTTTGGTTTTAAAAATAGCATTGTTTACTATTATTATTATTATTAAATCGGCGCCTTCAACCGCAACTCGAAGTAAAATAGCGTGGGTTTTCGGAGACGGACCTGGGATATTTCTACCGTTGTAGTATGGTGGTGGTAATTTTCTAATTTTTTAATTTTTTTGGGCAGGTAAAAAAAACAACCAGTTATGGTCATGTGGAATTGATCAGAAAAGGTTGATCATCTAGCATATAAGTATTGGTGTGTACTGCAAGGTTCTGGAATCATCAAAATGATAAGAAATTTGGCCCAGTCTTCGTAAAGTTACAAGCACTGTACACAGAGATATGTATATGGGACTACGCACATGTGCGCGACTCGTGCATTTATCTCTCACACACCAATAGATAAACTAATTTACCAAATATACCAATTAGTAGGCGGTTTCCCGGCAAAATTTTTATCAAAACATATTTTTTAAATTGGGGCGTTTCCAATACTGGTTTTACCTTTAACAATTTTGGGGGCTACTTTTCAAGCTTGCTTGCATGAAAATAACACTCTTTAATTTGTTTTGCATTGAACTCTATGCAAATTTTTGGGGGCTCTTTCATGACTTTCGGGGGCTCTTTTTAGCATTTAGGGAGCTAATTCGCCCTGAGCCCCATGTATTTTTTTCATTGTAGCAAACAATGCCTAATCAGTGCCTGTTGGTCCCTATGATCCTCTTTTTCTTTTAAATGAAATCTGATTTGATGAGATAACCACCTGTCAGTGACCTTGCAGGGAGGTCTAATCCCCCTGGCCAAACTAGTGCAGACAGGCTTTAAGGAAAGGCAGACAATCAATGAGGAAGTTAGGGTTGATGATTGAAGATTCTCTTTGTAAATGACATACATGTGTAAAGATTACTACACTTAGCCGAGTGAGATGAATTGGCATTTCAATCATGAGTTTGTGATGTCATTCCCCTATTGTACACACCTCTTTTTTCATAAATTTCCCGTTTGCTCTAGAAAAAACTGTTTTCCTCATGTCTTTGCCCTTTGAATATGATTCTTATTCCATATTTACACTTCAAAAACATAATTCTTTCACATATTATGAAGATTTTTTGATGATAATATATTAATTTTGTCTTTATATGATTCATACATTTTATGAAAATTCCTGCTACTGATACTGTTAGCATCAAAATCAACAAGATTGAATTCTGTTTTACCTGCAGGGTTCCTAACGGGGAAAGTCAATGCCATGTGTTTCTCAACTTCCAACATAGCGGTCTTTCAACATTTTCTTGCCATTTAAGTTCGTTTAAAACCTACTTTCTATAAAGTTCTGCTACTTTACGGGGAAAGTCAATGCCATGTGTTTCTAGCGTGTTTTGTAACTTCCAACATGGCAGTATTTCTTCATTTTAAGTCCTTTTAAAACATACTTTCTAAGTTCTACCACTTTGATCATTGTTGACTTCCAACATGGCAGTATTTCTTCATTTTAAGTCCTTTTAAAACATACTTTCTAAGTTCTACCACTTTGATCATTGTTGAGGCCGGCTTAAAGCCAGTGCAGGAGACGTGGATGTATGTATCATGTGGGAGTGGAGATGTGGCCCTCCTAGTACATTGTACAATGAATGAATTCCACAATCCTACATTGCCATTTCCTGCAAGGTGTCTGCCTAGTTAGTTTTGCCTTGAGTCATCGGT